TCAATAGCTTGCTAGTCTTATTTCATCTCTCTTCCTTCCCCCAGACACACACACACACACACACACACACACTCTCTCTCTCTCTCATTTTTTTTCTTCAGGAAGAATATAAAGCACATCCCGGACTTCATGTCATTTTACCACGAAACACTTCAGTATGCATCTTCAACTGATAAGCATTTTTAAAACATAAGCACCATTGCATTCTTAGCTGATTCCTTGATGAGATCAGGCAGAATGGAGCGATAATCAGTAGTGGAATGCTTCTGCCCCAAATTAACATCTTTATGCAGAAATATTAAATTTAGTTCAATGCAGCAAGCGTGGTAATGTCCTTCATGGACAAGGCACCGCATGCACAGCACGCACGGATGAGTTAGGCAGGTAGGGCCGGACCCTGTGAGGAAGGTCACAAGGCATATAACCAGAGTTCGAGGCTGTGCTCAGATAAGCTTCTTGGACAGCTGGAAGCCTGGCACAGGGCGGGGTCTCTGAACGTTTGCCGAATTCTAAGTAGAGGCGTGAGACAGGCTAGGTGAGTGCGAAGGGAGCGTTTGCTGGCTGCGCAGACGAGGTGTGTGCATGACGGACCTGGAAGAGCAGGCACGACCTCTGTACACAGAACAGGGAAGGAAAATTTCCATCGCACACCCAAACCAGAGAGACAGGAGGGCCCACCTCTACTACTGTCCAGATGTATCTTCTCTAGGGGTGAGGATACGGGTCTCATTTGACCTACGAGGCTGGCGAACAGTTCCGATGACCTTGGAACAGCCTTCAAGTCCCTAGAACCTACCCCTTTGTAAGCCCAGAAGCCAAGAGTCCACTTGTTTTTGTTGGTCTTCGCATTAGGCCTCCTTTGGGAGCCTGAGACTCCTTTTCAGCAGAAAGCGAGGAGACCAGCAGCCTGAGAAGCCCTCTTCCTCTCCCGGAACTGGATGTGTGGCCCCCATGCTCCCCCTTCTCCGCGCCTGGGCACGTGGGGGTGGAGCAGACCCCTTTTGGGGTGGAGGGTGGAGGAGAATGCAAGGAACTGCTGGGTCGCTTATTCAGCTCCTTGTTGAGCAGGCGGCCCAGGGTCTGGGCCGGGGAACAGCGGGAAGAGAGTCTGGAAACCTGGAAGCAGGGGAGGTGACTAGGGAATGCCGAGAGGTGTCGCTGAACAGAGTCTAGAACTTATGGGAGAAGGCAGTGGGCCGCAGGGCTGGACCAGCGGGCGAGGCTCCCGCTGAGGGGGCCTCACTTGCCAGGCCGGACAGCTGCTCTTTCTTCACAGGGGAGAGGAAGAGCCCCCCACGGGAGAATGAATGACCCCAGAGCTCTGTGGGGCCACAGGGCAGCGGGGTGGGAGGTTATCACAACAGCCCTGGCTGGAGGCGGAGGGCTGGTATGAGGCTGGGGTTCACGCGGTTCTCACTTTTACTCACAAATACAGGGTCCGGCAGAAGTAACACCCGTGTGGGTGTGGTTGGTAGGGTAATGATGTGGGTGTAATAATTCATAGTTTTAATTTGAACATCTCACTTAAAATGTCACATGGTGTGCTTGAGTGTGATACTGTTTTTTTGTTACAGAATTACATGCTTATGATTTTGTAATAAAAGCAGGCGTTATTTGGGCCGGAACCCGTATTTACAGGGCACCCACTGTGTGTGAGGCCTGAGGAGGTGGAACGTGTGAGACTTTGGACCTCGGAGCGAAGTCGGAGCTGGCACGCGTTTCCGCCGAGCTGGGCGGGAGAACGAGTGTGCGAGCGCGGCCGTGGGAACCGCGATGGGAAGTTAGGAGGAGGAGCTGGCTGTTTGTCTGGAGTGGGGCTTTAGCTGTGTGTGTGTGTGAATGCACATGTGCATGTGTGCATGAGTGTGTAGGTGTGTGAATGGGCATGTCTGTGTATGGACGTGGGTTGTACGTATGAATGTGTGTGAATGGGTGTGTGTTGGCAGAGGCAGGTGGGGAGCGAAGTGAACTAGGTGTTGAGTGTGCGACGCTGGAACGCCCTGGAGAGATGAGGGCGGGAGGCCCAGGACCCGGCTCTGTGCCTGGCCTGCGTCTGGAGTCTGAGGAAGAGGGGCCCGCGCAGGCCAGCAGCTGGGCTGCAGTCCTGGGGGCTGAGCCGTGGGGCGTGGCTGGGCGGGGTGCTGGTACTGGTCTGACCACCGTCGCCGGGTGTCCTGTGGTCGGACTGCTCACAGACCTGCTAGGTTGCTGTTCTCTACCATCTGTCACGGCGCCTGTAACAGCCTTTGTTTTCAAAATGCCACTTTGGAAGAAGATGCTCCGGGGGTGGAAGTGAACCCTGGAGGGTTGAGGGTTTATTATGGATGAGCTGGTCGTCCATAAGGAGGCAGAGGGAAGCCCCCACGGGTTGCCTCCTGGTGTTCGGAGTTGCACTGGTCAGCTGGGCTGCGGTGGGGGCTTGGCAGCGCCACGCTGGCCATGACATTCAGCGCCGCTCAGAGTCGTGCCAGTCGGAGGTACTTGGAACATTCGACGTTTAGGGAACAGGAAGTGTGACTCATCTGAGACGTGTGCTGGGAAGGCAGTGGGAAGGACGTGGCCATGTGTTCGAATCTGCCACTTCTGAGCTGGATGGGCACGTGATCAACCTCTTTAAAGCTCCTCCTCCTCCTCGGGTATGAGATGGGAATGGTAAATAGCAGTTCACAGATACATACGTGCATGTGTGTATGTGTGTGTGTGTGTGTGCCCATCCTCCAGATGCACATACATCCCAGGCACCAGTCTGAGCATTAAATGTATATTTTAACTCAGTCCTCACAGAAACATCGTGAGGTAGTTTTGTTATTATCTCATTTTTACATATCAGAGAGGTGAGGTAACTTCCCCTAAGTTACACAGCAAGCAGATGGCAGAGCCAGGATTTGAACAGTCTGGCCCCAGAGCCCTGGCTCTTCACAACAGTCCTTTGCTGCCTCCCAGTTTGTGGTTCAGGTTGACATGGTAACACATGGGATGGGTCTTCACCTCGTGCGTGGAGTGGAGTTGGGGACGGGGGCTGCTGCTGCTGCTTCGGGAGGACTCTTAATGTGGCGGCAGTCTGGGTCGGTCCTGACAGGACCGAGGGGTGCGGTCTCGCTCTGTGCCGCCGGTTCAAGTCTGTCCTTTCCACACTGAACAGACCTTGTCGCCCCAGCTGTGCCCCAGCTGCTCTGCCTGAAGCTAAGAGGGTCTGGACCCTGGGATCTTGGGATGTGCAGTGGTTTGGGACTAGATGCCTTGGCTCATGCACGTGGCGGTGTAAATACATTTCGGGGGTATTTGTTCCGCAGTCGGTTGTTGCTAGGGAGGCGGTGTTATGTGTCAGCACTCTGCCGGGACCGGGACACAACAACCCCCGGCTGAGCGGCTCGCCTGTGAGGTCAGGAGGCAGGGTGGCGGTCCAGGAGCCCTCGCTGTTTGTCTGTGGCGTCCACGTCGTGGCAGGGTGTGCTCCCGTGGGTGGGCAGGGCCACGCCGGCTCCACTTTATGCAGTGTAGCGTCCATCCTCACTTGCAACTCAGTGCTTGTGAAGTTGGCAGTTGAGGGAATTAGGGTTTTGAGTTCTTCCCATTTCCTGGCCCAGTGAATCATTCTGGGAGAAGTCACAACATTGCACATTTCATTAGGGGCATAAATCAGAAAAGAACAGTTCCTTGACCTCAGCAGTTTATAATTTAAATGAGTCATAAATAAAAAAACAACGTTCATAAAACTACACTCTGATTGAGGTGACGGGAATAAAGGTGGGGCTGGCAAGTGGAAAGTTCTGTTCAGGGAGAGTGGAAAAGGCAAAGTGCAGAAATAAAGAAAAGTGTTGCCTTTTCTAAAACCTCACCTTTAAAGCAGCGGACGTTTACCGAGTGCCTGCTGCACACGGGCTGTGCAAGGAGACAACAGTGGGATCGCTGCTCGCCAAGACTACCTGCCCATCTAATGGAAACACGGGGAAAGACTGTCGTGCTCTGGGGACCCCGAGAAGGGGGCACAGAGGAGGTGACACTGCAGAGTGAGCAGAAGCAACCAGGAGGGCTGGGCTCCGTAGAGGTGCAAGACCGCGGGGACTGGAGAACTTGGGGAGAGTGGGTGTGACAGGCAGAGGGTGGGGATGGAGGGAAGGAAGTGACGAGAAGGTTCCAGTACCACTTCCTGGGCAAGTCCACCTGGAGGAAGGCCTTGGGGTCAGTGCGGAGTTGAGAGATGGAGTAATTAGGGTCATGAACCTCAGAAGGAGGGGGTTTTGTACAAGTGAAAAATAACAGGACCGTGACAGAGGCCATGGGGAATGCTGGGAGAATGATGGCTGTCCTCCCACCCCTGTCAGATGTCAGGGGACCCTAAGTGAGAAGTCAGGGGACCCTAAGTGAGCCAGGAGCTGCAAGGTTGACAATTACATGGGCAAGTCCCATGTGGCAGTGAAAAGAACATCGTTTGGGGAGTTTGAGGATGGAGATGTTTATGGACCACGGAACAGATTGGTGAGACATGACCCGAGGGGGTGATGACCCAAGGGCCTTGCGTTTGGGGTGTAGGCGAGGGTGGCAGGAACCCAAGCCATGGTGGGCTGGAATGTCCTCTCTGAGACAGGGTTTTCCAGTGCCCCTGGGGGGGGGAGCAGTTTGCGGCACTGCTTGGCATTCCAGGGAAAATCTTGGTAGAGTGTGGACACCAAGCTTCCTAGACCCTTCTCAGAAGAGAAGGGGAAGCTGACCGCAGGCCCCGACCCTATGAAAAGGTGAAGACTCTGATTAGGGACGTTTGGCTTTTGGCTTCTGGCCTCTGGCATTGGAAGTGTTCTTGGGGGCAGACTTGGACAAGTTTGGCGATAGTGGCTCTCACAGGGTCCCCCCCACCCCACATTCGGACTTTCAGCGCCGTCCTGTAGTTGGCAGGATAAGCATTTCATTGTCAGGACAGCAGGAGAGCCCGTCTTGTCCCTCCCGTTAGTTTCTGCTGTGTCGCCGTCTGATTGTTAACCCTGCTCCTGTCTCTGATTCAGAGCCAGACTACCAGGTGTACCTGAATGCCTCCAAGATCCCCGAGTTTGCAGACGACCTCACTGAGCTGGAGTGCCGGGTGGTGGACATGAAGAGCACCGAGCCACGCGTCCGGGTCACGGTGTCCTGGTACTACAGGATGAACCGGCGCAGTGACGACGTGGTGACCAGCGAGCTCCTTGCCGTCATGGACGGGGACTGGACGCTGAGGTACGGAGAGAGGAGCAAGCAGCGGGCCCAGGACGGAGACTTCATTTTCTCTAAGGAGCGTACGGACACATTCAGCTTCCGAATCCAAAGGACTACAGAGGAAGACAGAGGCAATTACTACTGCGCAGTGTCCGCCTGGACCAGACAGCGGAACGACAGCTGGGTGAAGAGCAAGGATGTCTTCTCCAAACCTGTCCACATATTTTGGGCATCCGAAGGTGGGAGCTTTGTTCTTGTTCTTTTTTCTTGTGTTGCTTTGGCTTTGGTCACCGCACTGTACGTTTGCAGATGCGTAGTCACCCTGCGGGTTGCCGTGGGTACCAGGAGTCCAGGAAATGCCTGCTCGGGTGACAGCTGCTTTTACCTACAGCTCGCTGCCTTCTAAGATGGGGGTGCTGGACAAGGGTGAGTCCTAGTGAGGGAGCCAGGGCTTGGTCGGTGGCAGGTCCTTGTCTTGCAGGGGCTCACACTGTGCCCAGCATCAGCTATTGACACTGTCGCGCCACTGGGTGGTTTCAGGCCAAACCTCGCACAGGCCACTGGGAGTGTGTCTGTGTCCACGTGCTCCTGCTGGATGCAGACACGTTGAGGTACCAGAGAGTGAGCGGAACCCATAGGCCATGGTGTTTGCCCCTGAGCTGCCTGTCATCCATTCAGAGAGGTGGTTGCCAGGGAGAGGTGGCCAGGAAACAAGGGAAACAACTTTTTTGGTGTTTGTCCCCACATGCTCAGAGCACTGCCGGCCGTGGGATGTCAGGTTCAAGTCCTCCTTCCTGTTCCTGTCTGTCCCCAGAGGCTTCCCAGGTTGTCCTTCACTGGCTGGTGATAAGCACCATGTGGCCCCTGCAAGCCCCTGTTGACTCACTGACACCTCTTCTGTCATCCCGGGCCCCAGGCAGGGCCCTTTAGAACTCGGCAACATCTCCTGCTCCCCGAACCTCATGGCTGAAGGTTCTTCTCTCTTCCTCATTAAACATTATCTACCTCGCTCTCCCCTGAGCACCCTGTGCCCCCAGAGTCCTCCTGAGTGGTGGTGTTTTCTTCCCACACCTCTCGTGCAGCTGGGCCTGGCTGGGGACAGTGCTTCTTGTCCCTCACTGGAGCTTCTGGACCATTCCCCCCCCCCCCCGTCAAGAACATCAGCTCCAATCTCATGTCATTAGGTCCCCCCTTCTCACTGCCATCACCCATCGACTCCTGGGTCCCCCTCATCCATTCTTTGAAGATGTTAACTCTTGTCTCACAGCCACTCTGTCCAGAGCCCCCTGTCCTGCTGGCTTCACTCTCCAAGTAGGACACTGGGTCACACCGTGCCTGCCCGTAGGAGTCACCCAAAGAGATTTTTAAGAAAACTGAAGTTTGAGCGCCACAGGCCAGTCTGTCTTAATGGGCCTGAGGGTCTGTGCAGTCAGGGCGCTGGAATTTTAAATGCTCCTGAAGTGGGTCTCCTGGAGGGCCAAGGCCAAGGGCCCCCGTGCAAGCAAGTCTTTCACTCTCAGCCCTGGTCCTGCTCTCTGGTCACCACGCCCTCTGTCCTGTTGCTGCTGTTCACGCCCCTGCTCACAGCCTAGCCTAACCTGTCACACTTCTGATCATCGAAAGACCCCCATATTCCTCAATTGCAAACATTCCACTCTCTGCCACACTCCTGTCTTTCTGGATCATTCTCTGTACTACTCCCACATCAACTCTTCAGCCCACCGGGACGGACAGCGCCTTAATCCTGCTGCCTTGCACTGCCCTCCCCACCCATGGTCTTCACCTCTGTCTTACGGAGGGCAGTCATTTGCCCAGAGTGGTCCAATCTATACCTGTTGTCCTGCTGCCTTTTTAAGAGCATCTTCCTCATTCTCAGATAATTGGGGGTGGGAGGTCGAATAAGTTCCGGGTCACCCAGCTGTTACCTAGCCCACGCCCTTAGCTCCAGGCCTTGCTAAATCCAGGCTGAGCCACAGCCCAGTTCAAAGCCAGCCCTCTGCCGCCTGGCTCGCTGCATCTGCAGAGCTGAATGTGGCTGGAGAAAAGCTTGTGAGCTACCAAGTAGCCTCGTTTCCGATGAGATCTGAGATCACTCACGTCAGGAGGGCTGTCAGCACTCCCTGGGCATCACGCTGCATTTCCTTAACCTGTTTTCTGCCCTGCTCTCTGAAGTGATCACTGCACATTCCTTACCTGAGGAGCTCCTCCCCCCGAACAAACGGAAACGGGGAGAATTCCCACACACCCTCCCCAGTGCCGAGTCCAGTTCCGTGGTCTCGTGTCCCGACAAACGCCAGCCCCTCTCACTCTTTGGCCACATGGCTTCCCTCATATCTTCAATATTTCTTTTTCTGGACCTTTCCCTTTGGCTTCTAAACAGGCTGTTAGATCTCCTTTCTTGGGTATTTTTTTTTAAGCTGAACTAATGTTGACCTCCCATCCCTTCCACCTTTCTGTCCCCCACATGCCCTTGACCACCTGTTGCTTTGTTTTTTATTTCACAGTCGTCCCCCCCTTCCCCATGGTTTTACTTTACGTGATTTCAGTTCCCTGTGGTCAACTGCGGTCCAAAATTGTTACATGGGAAATTCCAGAAATGAGCAATTCTTATGTTTTAAGTTGCACACCAGTCTGAGTAGGGTGATGAAATCCTGCTTCTTCCCCCGGTCTCCCTCCTGGGACTCGACTCATCCCGCTGTCCACGTCTCCACTCCGTGCAGGCTCCGCCCATTAGTCACTTAGTAGCCTGCCTGACATCGGATCAGCTGTCGTATCTCTGTCCATGTGTTCAAGTCACCCTCACTGTGCTTCTCAGTGGCCCCGACATGCAACCGTGCAAAGGTGCTGGCCGTTTGGATGTGCCAGAGAGAAGCCATGAAGTGCTTTCTTTACATGAAAAGATGAAAGTTCTTGACAGAATAAGAACAAACATCATATGTTACCCTAGGTATGAATGTGTAGTAAAGCATAGTGTGTACAGGGTTTGGTACTCTCCGTGGTCTCGGGCATCCAGTGGGGGTCTCGGAGTGTATCCCCCATGGATAAGGGGGGACTGCTGTGTAGCCAAAGTGTCTGATTTATCTGTACTTGGTGTCTCCAGTGTCTCTCGTCCCATTCTCTCTGGTACCTAGTCTACTTGCTTTCTCCCTCTCTGCTTGTGATAGGAAGGTTACTAGCGACCCACACCTAGTGCAAAACCCGATTGTTCGTCACCTTACATGACTTCGCAGGATTTAAGCAGGCGCTCAGTCCCTCACCCTGGAAGTCCTTTGGTTTCCACCACCGTCTCCGGGCCTTCTTCCAACCTCGTAGCTCTTCCTCTGGGCCCCCGGCTGGTTCCCCTTCATTTTCCTGACCCGGACCCTCAACCATCAAACCATTTCAACACACAGGCCTCAGGCCTTTTGTCTGTGAACTTCACTCCCTTGGTGATCGCTTCTAAGCTCATTTAAAAAGCACCCACACTCTAGCGCCTCCAACTTTATAGTCCTACCCCGGACCTCTTCCCAGAGCTCTGGGCTCAGCATTGTGTTTGCTCCTTGACTTTCAGCCTTCCCTCACCTTCTCTAGCACCACTGTTCTAGTTGTTCGGACAAAAACCTCATCCTTAATTCCTCATTCTTCAAAGTTGATTTCTAATCTCCCCACTGGTCACACTGTGCCGTCACCAGGTCCCCCTCGTCTCCTGCCTGGATGACATCCCCCGCCTCCCGACTGGTCTTGCTTCTGCCCGTGGTGGCAGCTAGAGCAGTCCCGGGCAACGTGAGTCAGGGCCCGAAACTCCTGCTCCGAGCCTTCAAAGGCTTCCTGTCTCTCTCAAAGAAAAATCCAGAGTCCTTTCTGTGGCCTCGGATGCCCTATACCAAGTGGCCCCATTCCCTTCTGACCTCAGCTACGACTCTCCCCACACCAGCCCCGCTCAGCCAGTCCGCCTTTCCCGCGGTTCCCGCGGTCAGCCGGCCGCCTCTGCCCCATGCTGTCCGTGTTCTGCACCTCTGCCCGGAGCGCTGCTCCCCAGATGGACGCAGGCCTGGCTCCCTCACCGCCTCGGGTCCTCGTTCAGATGGTTCCTTCGCAGTGAGTCCAACTGCGGCCCTCCCCACCCCCCACCCAAACCCACATTATTTTCTTCTTTCCCTGCTTTGTTTTCTCTCCAACATGTATCAGCATCTCACCATCCCGTATGTTTTACTTATTTACTTTGTTCGTCTCCCTCCACTAGCGTGGAGAGGAAAGCACTTCCGTGTGTTTTGTTTACTGGCGCATTCCCAGTGCCAAGAATGGGGGTGCTCTCAGCAAGTTAGCGAAGGAGGGGCTGGCGGAAGTCGCAGCAGATTCAGGACAGAATCGGGATGGCTCTGTGGGGCCTCAGGAACCAGAGATGCTGGAGGGACACTGTGACGTACACGTTCTGCTAGCAGGTTTAGGGCAACAGCCCAATGTACCCAATGTAAAAATTTCATTGTGTAGCAGGACAGACTATAGATAGAATGCATCATCTCATGGAAGGATAAAAAGAATGTTTGATTCCTTTGTTCATCTAATCAACAAACACTTAAGTACCATCCAAGTGCCTGACACTGAGCCATTCGAACATAGATGACTTCTAATGTGCTTAGGGATCATAATTTTTTTGGACAGAGATGCGGGAGTGACACACTGAAGATCTAAAGTTAGTGTGCACACGGACGCTTGCTCAAATTGCTCAAACAGCGCCTCGGTGGAAACGACCGGATCTCCAAGTGTGTGCTCCCATCACTTTGGGGAAAATCTGTTCTGTAGAGTCACTGTTGTGTGACTAAGCAGAGAGAGTACATTTCTCTCTTCTCAGCAGACTGGCTAAGCTCAGGGTTCTTCCCCTGCACCCAGCGGGCCCTCGGGGAGGAGTTGCCTCTTGTATGTGCCCTGACCGGGGACTGAAGCCGAAACCCAAGGCGTGTGCCCTGACCGGGAATCAAACTTGGGACTTTTCGATTTGTGGGACAACACGCCAACCAAGTGAGCCACGCTGGCCAGGGCCCAAATTCTTGCTCTGAGTGAAACTTCTCAAGGAGTTGAAAGGCCTTAAAACCAAATCCGCACCCATCAATCCCCTCTTCCCTCACACCCAGTAAATCACTTTCGGCTGCTCTCCTTCATCCAGCGCTGATTTTCTCTCTGAGTTTCCAGACTGTCTCAAGTGCTATTGTGTGACAATTTGCAAATAAATTCCTACCTCTTTGACACTGCTCTTTCAGATATGTATCCATTGTAAGTGATCCCATTGGAAATCACCTGTTTCTGCTCCTTCATTGCAGACTCTGTGCTGGTGGTGAAGGCGAGGCAGCCAAAGCCCTTCTTCGCCGCAGGAAATACATTTGAGATGACTTGCAAAGTGTCTTCCAAGAATATTAAGTCACCGCGCTACTCCGTTCTCATCACGGCTGAGAAGCCTGTTGGGGACCTCTCCAGTCCCAACGAAACCAAGTACATCATCTCCCTGGACCAGGATTCGGTGGTGAAGCTGGAGAACTGGACAGACGCCTCCCGGGTGGACGGCGTCGTGTTGGAAAAAGTGCAGGAGGATGAGTTCCGCTACCGAATGTACCAGACTCAGGTGTCAGACGCCGGGCTGTACCGCTGCGTGGTGACAGCCTGGTCCCCTGTCAGGGGCAGCCTGTGGCGGGAAGCAGCCACCAGTCTCTCCAACCCTATCGAGATAGACTTCCAGACCTCAGGTGAGCAGACAACCCTGTGCAGTCATAGATGGAGCTAGGAGAGGCCCTGGGGGGTTCATCCAATGGCTTTATTTTTTTAATAGCTCTATTGAGATATGATTCATATTCCATACACTGTACCATTTAAAGTATGTAGTTTGAGCCCAGACCCTTTGCCCGCTCCTGCTCACAGAGGTCTGCAGCCTTTTTCTCCCCAGGGTGGTGGTTCTCCAACTGGTGTTGTCAGTGACCTCCTACAGCTTTGCCTGGGAACCTGAAGGAATTGCACGTGCTCGGCCTGCCCCAGCCCCGCCCAACCGTGCCCCCCGGGGGACAGGCCTGCACTCACAGTCCGAGTCTCACTGTCCTCCCGGCGACTGTGGTGTAAACCGGGGTCCAGAACCTCTGCTCTGTGCAGGGTTCCCCACCTGCACACTCAAAAGTTTCGACCTGGGTACCTGTTGTGGTGGCCTGTCCTGGGCTTTGGAGGTCGGATCACCAGGTTCAATACAGGGTGCCCCGTTTAACTTGGGTTTCAGATGGACAGCACTGTTAATCTGATGCAAATTTAACTGGGAGCCCGGTACTTGGTTTGGCCACCCTACCCCAATGTAATTTTTATTTGCTGAAGCGGGCAGCCCTGGTTGTATGACATTGAGCATTCCTGGCCTCTCCCTGCTACTAAGTAGCACCTCGCAGCCCTGCTTCTCCATAATGACACTTAAAAATGCCTCCAGTGTCTCCTTCCACCCCAGCCCACCCCACCCTTTCCCTACACACACACACACACACACACAAAATCCACCCCCAGCTGGTGTGGCTCAGTGGACTGAGCACGGGCCTGTGAACCAAAGGGTTGTTGGTTCAATTCCCAGTCAGGGCACATGCCTGGGTTGCAGGCCAGGTCCCCAGTAGGGGGCGAGTGAGAGGCAACCATACACTGATGTTTCTCTCCCTTTCTTTCTCCCTCCCATCCCTCTTTCTAAGCATAAATAAATAAAATATTTTAAAAAAATTTTTTAAAGTGTATAATGCAGCGGCTCTCAGTGTATTCATAGTGGAGTGCAACTATCACAATGATCAATTACTGATCATTTTCATTGTACCCCAGAGACACCCTACACCCCGTAGCCGACATCCTTCAGTTCCCACCCCCGACCCCACAACCTGCTGTCTCCCAGCAACCACTGATTGAGCCCTGTCTCTATAAACTTGCTCAGCCTGGACATTTCACATCAATGGAACATAATATGTGGTCTTCCTGTCTGGCTTCTTTCACTGCAGCATAATGTCTCCATGGGCCCTCCATGGGGCAGCAGGCATCAGGTCTTCATTCCTTCGTGACTGAGTAATATTTCATGTTGTGGCTATACCGCGTTTTGTTCACCCACTCATTAGCTAATGGCCGTTTGAGTGTTTCCAGTTCTTAACTATTCTGAATAATGCTGCATAAACATTCATGTACAGTTTTTTTGCATGAACATACTACCCTCATTTTAAAAAAATAGATAAGGAGCTATTTCAGCCCTGGCTGGGTGGCCCAGCAGGTTGGAGCGTTGTCCCGTACTGTACCAAAAGGGGGCAGGTTCAATGCCAGGTCAGGACGCATGTGGGCAGCAACAGATGGATGCTTCTCTCTCACATTGATGTTTCGCTCTCTTTCTCTGTTGGTGTCTGTCTGTCTCTCCTCCCCCCTGCCTCTCTCTCTAAAAATAAACATATCCTTGGGTGTGGATCTCTTAAAAAAACAGCTATTTCAGAATCTTTAGGAAGCATGGCAGAGTGTAAATAAAGGCAGGGGGCGCAGAGCCTCCAGAGAGGCTGAATGACGTGCCAAAGGTGGGAGATGCAGCGATAAGGCCCCAGGTGTGTCCAGCCCCTTGGCTTTCCCTCCTATGGGTCCCTAGGACTGGAGGTGACGGGCACTATTTTAGGCCCAACAGATCAGCGCACTATTTCCACACTGGGACTGAGTGTCCAGCCTCATGGCCGACCTTCCTTTTGGACCGGAAGATGTCCTGCCAATCGGTCAAGCCCCGGGAGCTGCAGTGGTGGGCGGATATGTCTGTTAACCTGGCTGGTTAAGAGTCGTTATTAATGGTGTTCATCTTTCAAAATGTTAGTGCAGACAAGGGCATTTTTATGTCTGTTGTGAATCGATTCTATCTTCAGTAAGTAAAGTGTTTTTATCCTGTAAAGTAGAAAGGTTCACCTTTTTTTTTTTTAACATGGCATAAATAGATATTTTCCATTAGAAATATTTCTTATTCATCTTGTAATTTATTAAGCTTCCCTAACAAATCTGTATCTGGTTATATGTGTTAGCAGGTAAATGACATAAAAGTCTTTGGTTCCCAACATTACTTAGAAAAATCAACATAAAGGATCATTATTTGTGAGTTTTAATATACAGTGTTTTCACTAAATCTGTCTTGGGTTCCAGTTAGAAATTTCTGAGTGTATAAATTTATACTTAGCTCTAAAAATTCAGGTGTGTATAGTGAAATAATCTTCAACCACCTTTCAAGTCTTCGCCTTTAGATTAATAAAGAGTAAATATTGATTTAAGTCCTTAGATTTGGAAAGAACAGTGGAAGCACACTTCTCTTTTATTGTTCGTTTTTCATTGTTATCTGTTTGTTGGTTTTTTAATATTGGCTTTATTGAGCTATAGTTAACATACCTTAAAAGGCACCCATTTACAGAATACAGCTCAATGGTTTTGGTGTATTTATGGAGTTGTATCTGGTTCCAGAACTTACTCATCACTCTGAAAAGAACCTCCGTGCCCATTAACCATCCCTCCCCTCTCCCTGCCCCCAGCCCCTGACAACCCCTGACTTTTCTGTCTCTGTGGATCTGCCTTTCCTGGACACTTCATCTGCAGTGAATCATGTATGTGGACTTCCATTTTGGGGCACTTTCACACAATCTTTTTAAGCTTCATCGATGTTCTCATGTATCAGTACTTCCTCCCCTTGTATAGGTAGATAATATTCCATTGCACGGATACATCACATCTTGCTTATCATTTACCCATTGGCGGGCATTTAAGTTGTGTCTTCTTCGGACAATGCTGACATAAACTAGCCCTCAAGCTTTGTGTAGACACAGGTTTTCACTTCTTGGGAGTGATCCTGGGTCACATGGTAACTGGGCCGAACTCTTTGACAAACTGCCAAACTGTTTTCCAAAGCAGCTGCATTCCCACCAGCAAAGTATGAAACTCGAATTTCTCCATAGCATAGTGGGTGTGAAGTGGTATTTCACTGTCGTTTTAACTTGTGTTTTCCTAATGACCGTTGGCATTGAGCATCGTTTCATGTAGTTATTGGTTGTAACTCTGGAGAAATATCTATTCAAATCATTTGCCCATTTTTAAATTGTTATTTTTGTTGTTGACCAGTAGAGTTTTTCTTACTCTAGATACACGTGTCTTAGCAGACTACTCTGTGGGTAATCTTTTCACTTTCTTAATGGCATCCCTTGAAGCACTCAGGTTTTTAATTTTGACAAAATCTAATTTATTTTTTTAAGATTTTATTGATTAATGTTTAGAGAGAGGGGAAGTGAAGGAGAAAAACATCAATGTGTGATGCCTCTCACACGCCCCCTACTGGGGACCTGGCCCACAACCCAGGCATGTGCCCTGACTAGGAATTGAACTGGTGACCCTTCAGTTTGCAGTCCAGTGCTCAGTACACTGAGCCACATCCACTAGGGCCCAATTTACTTTTTGAGTTAATTCTTTTGTGTGTGGTATGAAGAAGGGATTCAGCTTTATTCTTTTGCATGTGAATACCCAGCTGTCCTAGCACCATTTGTTGATCTGTCTGTTCTTTCTCCCATTGACTTGACTTGGCACTCTTGTCAGAAATGAGGTAACCATAACTGGAAGGGTTTATTTCTGGACTCTCGGTTCTCACATTGATTTATATGTCTGTTTCTATGCTAGTAACGCATTGTTTGATTACTGTAGCTTTGTGGTAGGTGTTTTTAAAAATCGAGAGAGAGAGAGGATTGGGGGAGAGAAAGAGAGAGAGACATCAATTTGTTGTTCCACTTATTTATGCATTCTTTGGTTGATTCTTGTCTGTGCCCTGACCAGGGATCAAACCCTCAACCTTGGCATATTGGGATGATGCTGTAACCAACCAAACTACCTGGCCAGGGCCCATGAGTATTGCAACTAAGTGTAAGCCTTCCGACTTTGTTCTTTTTTGAGTTGCTTTGGCAATTCTGGGTCTCTTTCGTTTCCACATGTAGTTTAGGACAGCTGAGACTTTGGTGGGGTTTGCACTAAATCTGTAGGTCAGTTTGAAGGGTATTGACATTGAACACTGTTGTCTTCCTTTCCGTATGGAAGGTCTTCCCAAGTATCTGGGTCTTTCATTTCTGTCTGTGGTGGTTTGTGGTTTTCAGTGTATCGATCTCAAACTTCTTTCTTTAAATGTATCCTAAATACGTTCTGATACTCTTGTAAATGGAATTGTGTTCTTAATTTCCTTTTCAGTCTATTTGTCTCGTCTATAGAAACACAATGAAGTTTTGTATATTTTTCTTGTATTCTACAACCTTGCTGAACTTATTTTAATAGTCTTTTAGCTGATTCCTTTAAAGATTTTATTTATTTATCTTTAGAGGGGAAGGGAAGGAGAGAGAGGAGAAGTATCAATGTATGGTAGCCTCTCATGCATCCCCTGATGGGAACTGGCCTGCAACCCAGGCATGTGCCCTGACTGGGAATTGAACTGAGATTCTTTGGTTCACAGGTCCACACTCAATCCACTGAGCTACACCAGCCGGGGCTATTTTTTTCTTTTTATTTAAATTATTATTTTTTTTATTTGAGAGAGAAAAAGGAAGGGAGAGAAACACTGATTTGTTGTTCCACTTATTTGTGCATTCATAGGTTGATTCTTGTGTGTGCCCTGTAAATAAAGATAGTTTTACTTCTTCCTCTCCAAATTGCATACCTACTGTTTCTTTTTCTTGCCTGGTTTCCCTGGCTAGAGCCTCTAGTACAGTGTTGAATAGTGGTGACTCGAATGGACATCTTTGTCTTGTCCCTGATCTTGTGTGTATGTGTGGGGTCGGGGGGCTCAGTCTTTCACCATCAAGTGTCAGGGAAGCTCTGCGTGCCCCGTAGCTGCCCTGTTTTCAGTTGCGGAAGTTTTCTTTCATCTCCGGTTTGCTGAGTATTTTAATCAGAAAGAGGAGTTGGTTGTTTTCAAACGCTTTTCCGGTGCCCGTGAAGATTCAGATGATTCTGTGTTTTCTCTCTTTTATTCATGTATCTGCTTCATTGTCTGTAGCCATTTATTCCATCTTATGTTTCTTATTTAAAATCTCTTTAAAAACTGTTATGAGGAAGAGGGGAGACATAAAATCTTTTGTATCTCTGGGTAAGGAATGGATATTGAATATATTTTTCAATTCTTTAAGGGTCAGCATAACAGGAAAAAAAAATCGCTGTAGCTTCCAGGGTGAATAGACAGCCTAAGGTTTTTATTTAACTCCCTGAAGTCGTCATGGCCAGTTCACAGTTGAAGAGGTGCCATCATCAGAACCAGCAGCTGGCACAGTGCCGCAACCCCGAGTAGCTCCCAGCAAACACCGACTTGATACCAAAGAGCCATCACTTCTTGGACATCAATAGCACATGGTCAGACACACACAGCAGAGAGGTCCTCCCTGGTGGTCCCCTTCCCGTCCTGGGCCCCAGGGCTTTTGCCTCTCGGTGGGAGGACAATGTGAAAGGTTCTGGTCTGTTAAAAGAATAAAAATAAAGTTTTTCTCCTTAATAGAGAAATGGGAAAATACAGTAAAGTAGAAAGAAGGAGAAGAGGATCAGCAATACACTTAATTTGAAGTCTCTGTCTGCCTAGACTTTTTCTCCTGTATGTTGTCTCCATAACTTTGAGATCAGACTGTATATACAGTTTTATGACCTGCTTTCCCGCCATTTAACATGATGAGATAAACATTTTCCATGTTATAACAAATTCTAGATAAACACCAACTGGAATGACTGAACCTACTAGAATTTGGTTAGCCGTCACGCTATTGGTGGACACCCAGATGGTCTGCAGTTTGGGCTTTTACAGAAATATTGCTGGTAACAGCCTTCTTTTATGGGCCGGAGTTGGAAGATGGTTTGTGTCAATGTTTGTATTTAAAAGCCAAGTGGTGCGTGTGCGCTCTGCAGACTTGCAATCTGGGGACCCCTAGTGACTCTGGGCGTTCACTTAAATTCTCTGTGCCTTAGTCTGTCATTTTGAAGCTGACCAGACAAATCCCTACACAAAAACAACATTACCACAGAAATTGGCCATAATGAAAATATTTCTAAGCCTGGGATAATGACCCACGTTAGCAGTGAGTGGGTTTCACGGCAGGAAACCAGCCGCGTGCGGAGTTCACGATGAAGGCCTTTTCCCCGTCCTCGTCTGCACGGTGGGCCGCGGCACAAACGCTCCGCTGTCCCCGCAGCCCGGGCCAGCGGGAAAACGGGGACTGCAGCTCGTGACCTGCAAGGTGTTTGGGGTTTTCTTTGGTAACGTAAAGAAAAGAAAGGGAAATTTGTCCAAATTAGGTAAACCTCCCCTTGCTGGTTCAAATTAAGGAAATAAAAACCTAAATCCATTATGAGAATCTCTTTATGCTTTGTTGTATTGCATTCTCCTAGAAGGGGCCTGGATACTTGAAGAAAGCCCCCTGATATAGCTCTGTCTTATTACTGTGAAACGTGGTCCCCACTGCTCACCTGGACCCACGGGTGGCCAGGTGTGCCACGCAATCCCCCAGGCATAACCTCCGAGCCAGCTCCGAGCAACCGGCTCCGTCCTTGCCTGCCTTGCCGCCGTGAGCAGAGCACGTGCAGGGCGGGAAGGACCTGCGGCACCTGGCTGAGAGCCGCTCCCTGAGAGATGCGGTGCCCAGCAGCGGGTAACGTTTCCTTGCCTTCTGTGCTCTCCTCCCTTCCCTTTTCCTGGGACGGCTGTTCAGTTCTGTCCTCCACCCCTCGAGTTAAGTTCCCTCCTCGTTAATCTGGACTCGGCCAAAGCAGCCCCGAGCTGTCTAACCTCCCTAGGTTTCCACGTTCTCCAACCGCCCTTCATCTTGCACTCAGCAAAACAGATGACCCAGGGACTTGGTGTTAGGAAAGCAGTCTGACCAAGTCGCCCTGCAGGTCACACAGGAAGGAAAACTGGCCTTTTTCCATTCTTTGCCTGATTGGACTGCAGACATGACCTTTTACTCTCTCATCGTTATTTATTTTTTTTAGATGTTAAAAAAAAGAAAGGGACTGTTTTATTTCTGGTAATCTGATTTAAAAGGTGGTAACACTGATATTCTTAGCTTATAATGAGTTTCGCAATCACTGCCCAGGGCCATCTGTCTTTGCTTCCCAGGAATCTCAACAGAAATCCCATAGTGTTGGTATTCTAGAAACTTCTTTGGGTTTGCCTGTCCCTAGGTATTATGAATCAGGATGAGGTAAACACTGGGCTGTTTAGGATTAGGCTGGCTTAAAGCTTCGGAATTCGGTCCCCATGAGCCATGAAGCCGTTCAAAATCAAGTGTAGCCCCCAGCCCCCGCCTGCCTGAGAAGGGAACAGGAGCCACAGATACTTCTCTTGATCATGTGCTCAGGCTTCACCCTTTTTGTTTTGTTGCTCACGCATGTGCTCATTGCCTTGCAGCTGGAAAGCTCAGAGGCAGCACTTCTGCCTTGTGCTGGGAAATGGTACAGTGAGGCGTGGGGCAGGCTGGCCTCCGGCCTGTGGAGGAAGCAGAGGGCCCTTTTCTAAAAGCGCACTGGGGAGCAAGGGAGTGGTCTCAGGAGGGTGGGCAGTTTGGTTTTTTTTTTAAAGGCATATCCACACCGCCCGCCTCCCCCAGCAGGTCGGCGCCTTGCCCAGGACACGTGCTGGCAGTGGTGTCATCGTTGGCGTGTGCGTCTCCTTCCTGGACTTCAGCCTCTTAGCCCGGTGCCCTGTCCCCAGCGCCCTGTCCCCAGCGCCAGCACAGTGAGGCTGCTCACTCCACCAGGGCCCAGAGTGTCCCCGATTCAGTCCCCATCCCTCTCGTCTCCAAGCCGCTAGGCCTGGAGTGAACTTCGGGGAACCAGAGACAACCCCGCTCCGCCTGGGGTGGGAGGCTGGGTGGTCTTCACGGGACAGTGCGCTGTCATCAGGGAAGCTGTAAAGGAAGAGCCCAAAGCAGAATGATTCTTTTTTTTTTTTTAAGATTTTATTCGTTTATCTTTAGAGGGGAAGGGAAGGAGAGAGGGAGAGAAACATCAATGTGTGGTTGCCTCTTGTGTGTCCCCCACTGGGAGCTGGCCTGCAACCCAGGCATGTGTCCTGACTGTGAATTGAACTGCGATCCCTTAGTTCGCAGGCCCGCACTCAATCCACGGAAGCAAAGTAATTCTTTAGGAAGCATTCTGTTCTGGTTGTAATCTTATAATGGGGCACATTTGGGTGTGCCTGGGCTTGGCCTGTCTCCGGGGAGGAGAAGCAGCCTTAGCACACCTTTAATTTTGCGTTTCTAGTTGTGTTCCAAGGCAAGGGAGACTCACTTAGAGAATGGGACTTGACAGTGTGAGAGAGAATGATGAGGGTTGCTTTCTTCCAGGTCCTGTGTTCAATGCCTCTGTGTACTCCGACACTCCGTCCGTCATCCGGGGAGACCTGATCAAACTGTTCTGCATCGTCACTGTCGAAGGCGCAGCCCTGGATCCAGGTACTTCTCCTCCCCCCACCCCCCTGTGGCTTTTTGTAAGTGTTTCTGGCACCATCCTGCTGTGTTTCGCAGGTGTGCAAGTCAGGGGCTGGGTTGTCTGTTTATCCCCAAACCGCTTGACTCAGGACTTTGTTCTCAGTAGGTGTTCAATAAGTATCTGTTGAGTGGATGCATCTGTCTGTTAGATGGATTGGAAACGCATCCCGATATTTAATCTGGTTGTCAAGGTGATCAGTGGGCTGCTTCGAGGGCTGATGCAGGCAGGTTTGAGATCGAGCAGCCGCCCAGGCTCCTCACCTTGGTCTTTCATTCACTTAACCGCTCCGATATTTATTGAGCTCCTCTGTGCACGGGTGCTGTTTGAGACGCTGGGGGTGGAGGAGCAGGCAAAACATTCAAAGTTCTGCCCTCATGGCACTCGCAACGCAGTTAAGGAGACAGACAAGAAAGAAATCCCCGTATCATACCAGAGAGTGATTGATGCCATGAAGAAATACCTAAAAGAACAGACAAGTAGGAAGTGACCGAGGGTTGCTAGTGTAGATTAAATTCTTAGAAAACCTTTGTAAGTTTTTCGTTGCAGAAAATATTGGCATTGCTAGCAGGATGCCAAAGACTTGTGGACCGTTAGTCTTACACCCTTTCTGCTTGGCCCCGCTTTGTGACAGGCGACGTCCCTCTCTCACTTTTCTTTAAAGGAACGTCAAATGCAAATGCACTTAGATGTCTATGTTGCCGGGCAGAACCATACCCACCTCTGCCTTCTGAAGAGCTCACAAAGCAGCTTACTCACTGCCTGGGGGCCGCCGTCCCCTCTGCATGCTTTGACCTTGGGCATCTTTGCGCCACCCACCCCATCATAAGCAGAGCCATGGCCTCTCCCGGGCCACTTTTGTACCTTAAAAAGGCCAGATCTGCACAAATGGATGCTAGAAGCAGGTGTTCATTCTGTATCAAAGGCAGGTTGTAAGCGAAGGGAGGGTGGCCCGCAGTGAAACCAGCGTGAACACCATGGGGGGACTGGGCAGAGGTGGTGTTAAGGAGCAGAGGCCCAGGCGGCCGCCCCTCGAGGTCCGGCCCCTCCGGGACCACAGGTTGAAGGTGCAGGTAGCAGTCAGTTCAGAGTTGGCGAGTAGTTTCTGTAAAGGACCCAGGTGGGCAGTGCTTTCAGCCCCGTGGGCCAGGTGGTCGGTGCAGCGACTACTCACCTGTGGTGTGTGAAAGCAGAGTCGTGCAGATGGGGGCACAGCTGCGACCCCGGGCAACTGCGCAGAACAGGCGGTGGGCCGGATTTGCCATAGTTGGTGGCCCCTGGACTAGTTGATTGATGCCAGAATTGTCTCTTAGGAAACCCAAACATGGCTGCACTTTAGAGACAGGAAAAGGAAGAGTTTGTAGAAAATGTAAGAAAAGGAGACAGAAACCGTCCCAAAAGACAGAGGTGGTTAGCGCCGTAGTGGGGGGGGGAGGGGGATGAGGAGCCGAGGTGCCGAGTGCGTCAGTGGGCAGTGCCTTCACTGCAAACATCGTGGGCACACTCACACACACCTGGGTGGTCGGTGTGCTGCTGGCGTTGTGCGTGCTGCACTTCTGTGTAGCTGGCAGCCCGGTGGGTGTGTTCACACAGCATCACCACACACGCATGAGTAACGCATGTGATGGGACTGTGACGTCACTATGTGATGGGAGGTTTTCAGCTCCATCATAACCTTATGGGACCCCCTCTGTGCGTGGCCGTCACACTGCAGGTGACTGTGTCCTGCCGAGGACCCGAGGACTGAGATGCACAGGAGACTTTACAAGTGGAAACGAAGGTGAAAGTAGCAAACGATGCCGGGGGAAGGGGAGGGCAATAGTTTCCAAAAGCTGGGATGAGACAATGCCGTTTTTACCCTTCAAGCTTATTTATGATAGATGCAAAAATAAATCATTTGAGTGTTCTTCTCAGTAAATGAATGGGTCACTACTGGCACCCTTAATCTAACGAGTCTTTTCCTCCAGGGTAATTGCAGGAGCGATAGGTAGCTGTTATCATGCGGCTCACACTTTTCCAGAATGTTGCCCCTTGGACTGTGTGGATGGAGGATTCTGAATAATTAAACACAAGTTGCAATTTAGTTTTTCCTCATGCATCCTACGGGCTGTGAAGGAATTCTCTTTTCGGAAAGGACAGGTTTCATAAGTGGGCCAAATGCCAAGCCACACCTGTGCCAGGGTGGGGGGGTGGGCAGGGGCAGGTGGTGGCCATTGAGGGGTGACTTGTCGGGTCAGGTTTTCTAGAAGCAAAACCTGAGACAAGCATGCGAGTGATTAATTGAAGGTGTGCTCTCAGGAGAAAACCATGAGGGGGTGAGGGAGTTAGCACAGAGCAGGAGAGAAGCCAGGCTAAGACTCGAATTCAAAAGAAGTCCAGCTCCCTGTGCGAGCTCTGGAGAGGGGGTGGCACCGCAGAGTATGACCTGCTCGAGGGAAGGGAAAGGCTGGGCTCTTATGTCCCCTTGTCAGTCATTGTCCGCAGGCTGCATGGCTGGGATGGGAGGAGTTCCTTAGCCTCCAGGAGGGAGCTCCTGTCAGCTAACACCAGCTCTCTGGAGGACAGTTGAGGTGTGAGCGTAAGCAGCCAACACCTGCAGCAGCGGGGGGCTCGGTGCACCAGCTGGTGGGACGGGGCCCAGGGGCCGCTGTTCCAGGTGGTAATGCCCCTCCTGTCAGCAGCCGCTATTTGTAGAGCTGTACGTCGAACTGTGGAGATGAAGATGTTGTTTGTGGCAACCCACTTTTATTGCACACTTACTACGTTCCAGGTGCTGTTCTAAGCATTTTATAAAGATAACTATCTTAACCATAGTGATGTTGTTATTTTCATCTTACAGGTGTGGAAACTAAGTCACTGTGAATTTCGGTGACTCACCCAGGTCATGTGGCTAATGAGTGCCAGTGCTGGGAGTGCAGCCTGCTGAGCCTGGCCCTGCTGCCTGGCCACCGCTGCACTGGAAGGCACAGCAGGACTGGGCTCAGAGTCTGGGCACAAGTCACAGGGACTCGGTGTGACTTTTTGCTGTCAGTCACCCCCAGCACCCGCAGGTGACAGCAGCTCTGAGCTAGACTTCTCCTGTAGGACAGTGCTGCAGGTGTCCCCCAGCTGTGGCACCGTGAGGGTGTGAGGACGGGGACAGCACTCCCTCTGCCCCCCCGGGAGCCGGGCTTCCTGGCGAGAGACGACCTGCACTGTGGGAGCAATCGGATTGTTTGCTCAGGTGCCACAGTGGCTGATGGGCAGTAAAAGAAAGTATTTTGAAGCTGAGAGTAGAGAGCCATCACCCTGGTGGCAGAGCTAAGGTTTTCCAAGGCCCTCAGCATTTTTAGAATGAGTTGAAAAGGAACAATCGTGTGGATAGTTTTGTAGTAATTCCTGCAGGCATCTGAGTATTGCAATTCATTTGCCCTATCATGTGCTTTTTGAGGTTACAATGTGTGTTTTCACTACACGGGTGTTACTTTGTTTAACCAAAATTGTGCTATTTCACCTTTGCATAGAAAGCCTTGTCACGCGAATTTAAGATCAAACAGCGTTGGCGGCGTTGGTGGCCTTGCAGGCCTTTCGTGCCTGCTGGGGAGTCTCAGGCCGGACACGCTTGAAACCAGTTGGTACCAATCGAAAGAAGAGGTCGGGCCCGTGGTGGATGCCCTCCCTCCACAGTCTTTGAGAATTACCACTTGTGCCAAAGTCTTCTTTCTCTAATGCCCGTATTAATTTATGTGAGGCTGTTAGAACCTTAATTTCGCAGCACACTTTACGATTCAGCAGCATTACTCTCCGGGACTGTTAAACTGTGTTCAATTTTCTCAGCTTGACATTTTTTCCTATAGTTCTGAACGTATGCACTTCTGCAGGGGTTTTGGGGGGGGGAACCACAGCGAACAGTAAAATCAGAACTGTTTACGACTCGAATTTCTGTACGATTCACTTGACGAACCTTTTGTTCCTTAGGACTTTTGTGTCCTTACCATCTTGGGTGCTTCTGCCCAAAATGCTCAAGGACCCTGCTTTCTTTGGGAGATGGTGTGTGACGTCACCACATGCTGGCTTTACATCTGTGCTCTTTGTAGGAGACAGTTGGGGTCTCACTCCTCTTTCTGTGCTCCTTAGGCTGAGTGGTGGCAGCAATGAGGTTACGGGGGTGGGGGACCCTGGGGCTGGGCTCCCTGGGTGAAGACACATGCTGCGCCACCTGCTGGCTGTGTGACCTTACAGGTCTTTGGTCCTGCACAGGGTGTGAACGTGCCCTCACCACAGGGTTGGCCCTCGGTGGGGCCTGGGCAGGCAGAGCAGCACAGGCCCGTGTGTTTGCTGCATGTGGTGTTTCTGCCCATCGCACTGACCCCAGGGTGTTGGCTTGGTGATCCGTAGATGACATGGCCTTCGATGTGTCCTGGTTTGCGGTGCACTCCTTCGGCCTGGACAAGGCTCCCGTCCTCCTGTCTTCCCTGGACCGGAAGGGCATTGTGAGCACGGCCCACAGGGACCGGAAGAGCGACCTCAGCCTGGAGCGTGTGAGCGTGCTGGAGTTCCTGCTGCGGGTGCACGGCGCCGAGGACCAGGACTTCGGCAACTACTACTGTTCCGTGACCCCCTGGGTGAGGTCACCCACGGGGTCCTGGCAGAAGGAGGCAGAGATCTACTCCAAGCCCGTCTTTCTAACTGTGAAGATGGATGGTAAGAGCGACGTGCAAATAACGCTCGGGACTGCAGCTGACAGAAGCCAGGTCTCCCGACCTGAGGAATGTGCCTGAACTTGGCCTGGCTTCCTCCGGGCCTGGCTGAGGCTGAAACCAGAAAGGGCACAGGCAGCCCTTGCTGTTGGCCCAGCTCTGGTATCAGATGCTGGGAGCACCACTTGAAAAATGGTTTTTAAGCCAAATCTTTTCCCACTGGAAAGATTTGATGCTTTCTATAGATTCTATACAAACTCACTGTGCCGGGTGGAGGCAGAGAACAGAGTTGAGAGGGCAGGTTCAGGGCTCCGGGCGAGGTGGCGAATGGGTTCCTGCGACTTTGTCTTCTGGATTCAGCTTCTTAGAAAAGGGAGGCTCTTCCTGATGTCACCAGCGTGGAGTCCTAGGGTGGGAGTCAGTGGGGGGGATGCTCCCAGGCTTTCTGGTCCCCACGGACCACCAGGGCAGCCTAAGGAGGTGGTCGGAGGGCCCCTCCCCACCCTGTTCCCTGAGCATTCCAGAGTGGGGACAGTGACAGTGGTTCCTTGATTAATGAGAAACGTCTCCTCTGCAAAAAGTTTCAGAGCTGACATTAATTGAAGACAACTCTGTGGAGCGAATTAAAGTCCAGGTGCCTCTGAGCATCAGGAGACGCTTCGTGTTTGTTGCCCTGTGATGTTGTCACTCGGGGGCGACTGGAAGGGGCCTCACCCCTTCCGCAGATGACTCAGCCCTTCGGATCCTTACTCCCCCTCTCACGGAGCGGGGTGACAGCCTCTCCTCCGGCGGCTGTGCCAGCACAGCCATGTGACATGTGAGGCCCCTCCTGCAGCGCCAGCGTCCACCCAGGGAGAGTGGGCACTTCTGGGGAGGGCGCCCAGGGGCAGGGGCGGGGGGCCTGAGCAGTGCCTGTGTGTTTCTGACTCCAGCTCCGTATTTGCATCTTAGAAATTCTTTCCTTGAAGTGGCTCCATGTGAAACCCCGGTTTACCAAACAAGTGATTATTCGCTGTGCCCAGTGATTTACTGGTGCTACTGGAAATAGCCCCCAGTGCGCTTCAGTCATTTGATGCCTACAGTGGGTTTACATGTCGTTTTGTGGGTTTTTTTAAGGAGGCAGCTGCTCCAGAGCGTGCAGTGCCCTTATACTGACTTTTAAAAATCAGTCTCTTGCCAAAACCCTAAAAAGCAAGTTGACATTCAAAGACATTGCGAAATCACTTTTCTGTTTTCTCCCCGCTCCACCCTGCCCCCCCCCTCCCCAGAACTGGGGGGAGAGACGTTTGTTCACTTCTGGACAAACAGGGCTGAGCTGCTTCTATCAAAACTGCTGTGCTAGGCGCTGGAGACAGGGCCGGGGAGGTCTGATCGCTTGGCGGGGTGGCAGAGGGAGAGGAGACAGTGGTCTCACCTGCAGCCTCCACCCTGGTGCTGCTAACCGGCCTCCCTTTGCTCTCCCCCCCCAGTGCTGAACGCCTTCAAGTACCCGCTGCTGATCGGTGTCGGCCTGTCCACCGTCGTCGGGCTCCTGTCCTGCCTCATCGGGTACTGCAGCTCCCACTGGTGTTGCAAGAAGGAGGTCCAGGAGACCAGGCGTGAGCGCCGCCGACTCATGTCCATGGAGATGGACTAGGCTGGCACGGGCCGAGGCAACGACAGGGACCGCCTAGGAGCGATTTGGGCGAGCAGAGGACGGTGGTACTCGAACGCGACGTGTGTTACACTAAAACCCAGTCCTCTCTAATCTCAGGTGGGACGCGGCGCTCTCCCCTCTGCATGTCAAGTTCGGAGCGCGGACACGTTTACCAGCACACAGCTTCTCTTCCCACGGCACTTTCTGAGGACAATCGAGTGTGTCTTTCCCAACCGCGGCTTTTTGATGGTTAACCTCTGTCTAATTTTTTTCTCCTACTGGTTTATAGATCTCTGACGTGTGTGTGTTGATAGCTCTTGTCCTGAGAGATGGTGGTGAGGACAGGGTGATGACGTTGGGAGTTCTTTGTCCTGGGTGAGAGCCGGCCTCGGGGCCGGAGGCAGGTGTCGGGGGACGGCTGGGCGCCCCACTCTGCGCTGGCCCGAGGCAGCACGGACCTGTGCCGGAGGTGAAATCGCAGCTTTCACTGCCCCGCCCCACCCCCGTTTTCAGGGGTCTAGACCACATTTGAAATCTAAACTTGCAGCACGTAACTTCCTGTCGAGCCCAAATGCGTATTTTGGTTTTGCTTCTCTGCCCCTTTCCATTTCTTTGCTCTTTGCGTTACACGAGCGTGCGGAACGGCAGCCCTGGAACCGAGAACGTGGCTCTCCACCGAGCACCTTACCCTGCCACCTTAGCCTTAAGAATGAATATGAAGAAAACGACACAGCCACCTCCGTCCAGGGCAGTAAGGAGGTCTGCAAGAAAGAGGAAGTTGGGGACATGGGAAGGCACAGACACTCGGAGAGTGAGGAGGTCCCTGGGCCGCAAGGCGCCCCGGGGAGAGTGGAAGGCGCATCCTGAGAGCTGGGCTTCTGCACCTTGAGCCGGGAGGGTCCGTGGTGCCAGGGGCGTGTCAGGCAGAAGGAGCCACCTCCATTCCCCAATCCTGCCCTTTGCAGGAGGCAAAGGCCTGGGACACCAAGGGACGTCCGGGGGACCCACAGAAACCCCACGTCCTTCACGGGCTGTGCGGCCCCCTTAACATGAAGGACACCTGCTGCTGGTGAGACTGGCTGAGTCACGGAGTCAGAATTGCCTGGGGGAGCCGTACGTTTTCTCTGACCTTCTCAGTCTTTCAGGTCTTTGTCAGATCCCCAGCAAGGGCTCAGTGAGAAAGGGCAGGCTGTGTAGGCTTCGCTTTCCTATTAGGAACGTGAAGGAAACCCAGCAATTTACTGCCATGTGAACAGCCTACAAAGTATCTCTGGGAGCAGTCTGTTTGGCCCGACTGCTCAGACCAGGAGGACAACGGACCGGAGAGATCGTCCACTCCCTGGAGTGTCCGGCACCCGATGCAGCGCTGGCCTCTCTGAGGCTGCCAGGTGACTCGTGCCCTACTTTGCACTCCTCTGTGCTGCTATCGTGAAGGATCTAACACTCCTCTGTCTTCTGAAGAGGAAAACAAGACGCGTTTGTTTTGAGCAATAAAATAATACAAAATGATGGCCATTCATGTACAGCTCTTTGTCGCAGTGGGCTGGACGAGCCAGACACCCCCCAACCCCGCTCACCCACCTCCCCCACTCTGCTGCCCACGATCCCTTCTGCACTTGTCACTGAGCCCCCCCAAGAGGCAGATTCCCACTCAGTGTTTTCTTTTTGTTTTGCCCACCGAGTGGACCACTGGTGGGACAGGAGCGAGATTCTGCACTGATGGTAGCAGCCCAGACGAATTCCAGGCACAAGTGAAACCCGGGAAGACAGGCAGCAGGTGCGCCCCAGCAGAGCAGGAGTGGCTGGGGGGAGCTGGAGGCCTTGGTAGGTCTAGAGCCAGAGTTTTCCATGTACTGTTACCTAACTCCTCCTTCAGAGGAGGGCGGGTCACAGGTGATCCTACAAACCGGAACTAGAGAGAGCACACAAACACATGTGCCGTGTTGGGGCGGCCAGTGCCCTCCTGGAGCCCCGGCAGTTACTGCACCGACTAGAAGACGCAGGATTTTGTAGCACAGGCCTTTCGTGGTAGGAGGAAAGGGTGCTTAGCTTGGGATGTGCCCAGGTGGCCCCAGGTGTATGTGAAACCACGAATGGGTCACAGCAGACACAGTAGTAGTAACTGTACCTTATCCTTTCAAACTGCTATTGCAGTTCAAGGCTGGGGATGTGAAAACATGGACCGCAACCCCACCCTCTGCCCATCGGGCCGGCCAAACTGCCAGTCGCCTGGACGTTAGCCAAAGGGGAAAATCCCAGGGGGTTGTACCAAGGACCTCGTTCCTTCCAGGGACTTAGACTTGCCAGGGCGTGCGTCCTTTCAGAAGTACGAGCTCCACTCTCCCGCTGTACCGGATAGAGCCCTGCCTAGTGGGTGCTGTGCTGGGAGAGGCTCCACCGGAAGCGCCGGGCGGATGGAGGGAGGACCCAGTCAGGATTCACACGGAGGACGTTGTACTTCTCAACAACAACCTTACACAATGTTACGGTTTTTCCCTACTCATAAAAGTACCCCCAGAAAGAGCCTAATCTGTGTTCAGATAGGAGCCTCAAAATTCCTTTCAATTGTTTACTTTATAATGTTTACATACACTTTACACCTAAAAGAAAAAAAGAAAAAAAAATGCAAACTCTGACTTTTTATCAACTTTTCAGATTTTTCACGGGACAGTGGAACTTTGACTCACCAACTGGATTTCAATCTTACTCTAGAAATGTATTTATTTGTGTCTTTCCCCCCTTCCCCTCCATGTGGCTTTCCTGAGACCCCAGTGAAAGAGGCCCCTCCTGCGCAGACCCTTGTCCATTCCCCCTCTCCCCAACCCGTGGCTCTTGCTTCTTGCTTTGCAGATGGCCTGCAGCCATGAACTTGTCACTGGCATCTGTGAGCCAAAGACCGAGCCTTTGTGGCAGGAATAATAAGCAATACTACACAACTTGCTACTTTCAGAAAACTTTTTTTTAGCTTCACCGATGACAACAGAGGAAGAAGGGAACTGGGATTTGGGTAAGTTCTCTTCCACTGTTTGACCAGATTCTCAGTGATACATATTGGGTGCAGATCACTAGGAGAAAAAAGTTGACTTTTTCTTTTGTAGCGGGGCACATAGGATCTGCCGAATTTTATGTAGACAAAGGAAGGGTCTTGTGTATTTTTGTCCATATCCAATGTTATATGAACTAATTGTATTGTTTTATACTGTGACCACAAATATTATGCAATGCACCATTTGTTTTTTATTTCATTAAAGGAAGTTTAATTTAAATTGACATTGTGTGAGGAACATGATATTGGCCTCGATCGCCTTTTATCTCCTCTGCATGAGGGATTATGACTAAATTCCAGTTGCCACTTTAGCACCTTCTGGTCTCGTTGAACCTAGGTTAGCATTGTAGATTTTTACTAAAGATGGAAGAAGAAGTGGGTTTCCCAAGGTCAGGGCTGAGATTCCCACCAATCAGAAAGGCGAGGGCCAGACCTGATGGAAGGAGGGTCTCTTGGTCTTTCAGTGAAGTCTCATGACCTTAGAGGTCTCCGCCTGCCAGGAAAGAGAAGCTTGCGGCTGTTCCTCTCTGCAGATCAGGAAACTAACACCAAAGCTCTGTGACCACAGTGTGGCTTTTCTGACTCATGACCCAGTCTGGAGCCAAACCAGCCCAGAAGGTACTGGCCCCTTGGGGTGCTCTTCCCCCGGCTGCTGGCTTCAGGGACCTGGACAGGAGGGAGCCCGCGGAGCCCCACCCTCCTGCTGGCACCCGTCCCCCCCCCATGCACTTTCCTGGGGGCCTCGTTTGTGTTCTGGGCAGGGGACACCTCAGGTCGTGAGGTCTGAGTCCTGGTTGCTACCCTTGCTTGAGGTTGGGCCCCATTGCAGGCATGGCGAAGGTCCTGGTAGCTTGTAAATGCACAGTGACGTCTGCTGTGGGAAAGGTCACTCTGCCCGTCTCTGCACGAAGCCAGGGAGGAATCTGCTGGAGTCAAAACACCAGCACCGTCGGAGCTGGTCTTTAGCAGTCCTCTCCCGCACTGAACCTGGTCCTTCCTCAGTATAAATTCAAAACTTGCTTGCGTTCCCACTGTGTCCTCAAGCATTGTACTAAGGTCAGGGAACCAGCCACTTCCTTGCCCTTAGGGCTTGACACGGTTTGCCTAAATCTCTTTCCATCTGACTTACACTTCCCCTCCAGGTCCCTGGAAGCATGTTCCGCCCCTCTAGACGTAAGTGAGGACCCCTGTGACCCATGCTCTGGCCATTCACTGCTGTGGCCCTGGTGCCCAATTGTGACAGTAGTTGACACCGGGATTCTTACGACATGCTCTGCACTTGGACACGTGCAAGTCACCTCTAGGTGGCAACAGCAGAAGCTCTCTCACCAGCTCTCCGTGTAACCGGGACTTCCAGATCCCAGCCCCTCCACTTCCTCTGACCCATGGACTCTGTGCGGCACTGTTTTAAAATACAGGTTTATTATTCTTCAGATGTAGCAGGGTCATCACATCAGCAGATGGCTGCCACTGAAGAGATAGTTCGATAGGCTCACAGATCCCAAGAGGAGGTCCACCCAGGGCAGTGCCAGGGTCTGTCCAGAGCAGAGGGAGTGAGGGAGCGGCATGGGCACCAATGGCCTTGACCATGATTTTTATGGGAAGGAACAAGCACAGGGAAGCAGACTCAGGACTGACTAGTTTGGAGAATTCCAGCTGGCTATGGGGTCCCTCATCATCTGGTCCCTGTCCCCGGGTGCTTTGAGTAGGGGACAGTAGTCCTGAGTGTGCACGCCTTGTGGAGGAGGGGAAGGAGGTGTGGCTCTCGATTTGCTGGTCTGCGCAGGGAAGGCATGTCCACAGGGGAATCATTTTCTTTCTCTAGGAACTGGCTAGCCTGGGAGGGGCAGTCTCTCCAGAGTCAGCGACACCCTGGATGTCAAGGAAACAAAAGACAGAAAATAAATGGACATGATGTGGACACTCCCAGCTTGGGGACTGCATACGGCTCAGGTACACCTGAGCGGTTCAGCTCCATCCAGGGAGGGGCACTCACCTGAGTCTTCTCTGTCCTGTGTGTTCCCTAAGCTATCTGTCAGCAGCACCGGTTACTGTGGTTACCTAAATTCATCGAATAGTAGATACACCAGTGAAATAGGAGTGCCAACAAAAGGGGTGTTGATAAAAGTACAATGAATTCTCTGGAAAGACTCAATAAGGGCAAATTGCCTTTTAAAAAACGCTGTCAATTTAGGTCCAGACAAAACAACTGTAAAAAGTCGGGGGACAAATGACGGAAACATGGAAGGATTCTGTGCTCCACTGGCTTCATAGATGTTTTTATATTCGTACTCCGTTTTAGAGAAATCAAGCCTGAAAGTTGTAGAGAAGACATTATAGGTTTGGTTTGTGCAAAAACGGGATAGAAAACCCCAGACAGGAGACCCACACTCGGGAAAACCTGGGCTTGTGTGGAGAGGTTGGTGAATGGGTTCGCATGTATGTGGTTGAGGTGAAGACTAAAATGTTAGGATACATAGGAGTACTTTTATATTTCCCAACTTCCCTGACATTTTCTGTTCATTGATCAGCTAACAGCTCCTGTGTCAGACGACAGTCGAGCTTCTACCGTCACTGTCCCCATTCTTTTAGGTGAGGAAATTGAGGTTTAAAGAAATTAAATAATTTGCTCGCTATCTGAACCCAGATCTGATCCCAAAGTCTGTAAATTTTCTAAATCTCTACACCAGCTGCAGGGATGGAATATATTAGGCATTCAGTATTTCTTAATAAGATAGATGAGTAAGAACTGGGCCCTGCCCTTATGAAATTTATGATCTTTTAGGAGAGGGAGGCATGTACATAAATCATTTTCTAACATATAATAAGTAAAATTATGGAAGTTCACTGCCATAGCACAGAGAAAGGACTGGTGAGCCCTACCTAAGGCTCACCTTCCAGAAGGTTCTGGCTCTGTGTGGAGCCTGCTTGAAAGCTGGGAAGTGAGACAGAGAAGAGACCATTGCTTTGGCAGTGGTGGGGGAGCTTGAGGACAGGAGACCTCCGAAAGGAGGTCTGGCCTGCCAGCAGCTTCCAGGATCTCCTGGGAGGCGTCAAGAGAGGTCTCACACACGAGACGCAAACTGAGATTTTAAAATGTTTGAAAGAATGGGCATTTACCAGGTAGGAATGGAATGAGGTTCCAAGCAAAGGGCATAGCATTTGCAAAGTTGAAGAAGGAAATGATGGGTAAGACATGTTCAGAGAAATACAGTGTGTCTGCAGGGTGAGGTGGTGGGAGAGTCTCCTCAGACCAGTTTGTCAAGGTCAAGTCTAAAATTTGGACTTGATCTTCTAGAAATATCTGGGGAGCCATTGAAAAACTAATCAGGAGAGTGCATGGCTATGTGTGCCTTTTAGATTATGCTGGCAGCTGGGGAAGTGGGGACAGGCAAGGCTGCAAGATGAATCCAACTGTGTTAGTCCGGGTGAAAAGCCATCCTCAACTGTGACAGTGATGGTGGGTAGAAGGAGTTCCTAACAGGCAGATTTCGGAGATAATGCAGGTTCGGCCTCAGGCCCCGCAACAAAGCGAGTGTTGCAATAAAGTGATTCCGCACCTTTTTGCTGGTAGAGGGTTGTGCTTTCGATATGTAAAGAATGCAATGTCTGTGCAGTACAATAAAGCAAAGCACAATGAAAGGAGGTGTGCCTGCAAAGACTGTAGGAAGAACTGATAGAATTTTACAACTGGATGTGGAATGCGGAGCCAGCCCTGAGGCTGAGCAGTATCGGTGCATCCAACCACAGTGAACAGTGCAGTGAAAGAAGTAGCAGTTTCAGCTGGAGATTCCAGCCTGAGTTTCCTGCGGGGCCTCCAAGTGGAGATGTTCAACCCCAGCTAGGTAAATAGTCTGGAGCTTTAGGGAGAGTCTGGGGTTGGAGACAATGATACATTTGGGATTGTGTACAGATGAGGGATTAGAGGAGCCAAGGGCTGACGACAGAGCCCTGGAGAAGACAGAGTCAGGGCTGGGCTGCTGATGAGGGCCCAGTGGGAACGAGACTCAGAAGGGAGTTCTGATGGGGTGAGAGAAAATCCTGGGGAGAGAGTGGAATCAGAGGAGGAAAGAAAGAGTTCTAAGCAGGTTTGTCAATGGCTGGCAATACTTGGTGCCACAGAAAGACCAGAGCTGATCCATGTCCACTGTTGTGACCCTGGACACTTGGGTGGGGCCAAGCCAGATTGCAGGGGGTTGAAGTGCCAGAGAGTTAGGAAATCCAGCAGTCCAGAACACTGGGAAACAGAAGTTGGGAGAGGGGAGGGGAATGGAGGTGGTTTAAAATCAGGGTAAGGGGTTGTCTATTTAGAAGAGCAGGAGGCCCCTGAGCCACTGCGTGGACCCAGGAAGCCAAGAATGGGCGCCGTATCTTAGGGGGTAGGAGGGACCTAGAGCCCAGGTAAAGGACGCTTCCTTTCTTCAGGGCCTATTCTGAGCCCCCCTTCTTTTTTTTGTTCTTAATCAGATCTGATTGTCACTGAATGCCTGATAGGAAATTGAAGGAAAAGCCCTTCCCCAGGGAGTATTCAGAAATAGCAGTTGGCCCAGGAATCCTGTATGCGGCTTTCTCCTCTGTCACCATCCCCATTTCCCACCTCCTGCTCCCCACCCCACCCCTGGGCCCCCGCCTTTGCCTCTGCCTCTGCCTGTAGGAATCAAGTTCAGGTTTTTCTCCCAGAGGTAGGAAAAGTTGCCACCCGCCTGGAAAAACTGTTCAGCCATCAGCTCCTGGTGAAGCTGGGTCAGGGGGAAGTAAGGGACCTGGGCATTCTTGTCCATCATGGGGCCCAAGTCACACCTGGGCACACTCGAGGCCTCAATTTCTCCCTCTGTTCTTTGAGGCAGTTGACAAAGGTCATTTGATTCCTTCCTGTGGCATCACTGCTTGGTGTCCCATAGGTGTAGACACAAGGCTCAGACCATACACTTTGGCACGTCCCAAGCCTATGGGGCAGCCGTGAACCTGGCCTGAATTATAAGAGCTCAAGTAGGGAAAGGTGCAAAATCATGATCAGCTTCCTGCTGACACACATTCTGCCTTCAGAAAGTCATGAACGGCAAGCTGGAATGTAGGATAGAAAACACTGACTCCAAGTAAGAAGCAGCCTTAGAATGCAGCCATGTCCTAGCCAAACACTCTTGGCTAGGTTAGTTGACTCCTCTGAGCCTCAGTTTTCTCATCTGCAAAATGGGATGAGCAATACCTACCACATAGTAATCTGAGTAATCCTGTAAAACTGCACATGTAAAAGGCCCCTGTTTAAATAGCGGTAGTTCTTGGGCCTAAATTCTTAGGGTAGGAAAGCACAATAGGTGCAATTTCTATGGTTCTGTGGAATTAACATTTGAGCATGTCACATCGGAAGAAATTAAAAACATCTCTTTTCCTTATCTTCCAGGACCCAAAAATGGGATTTTTCTTTTTCTGTAGCACATTCCTGTGTTGCTTTGTCTAGAATGGGCCCCCTTCCTCCATCTGAAGCAAGAACTACATTCCTTTCCGCTGATACAATTGCCATGCACCGATTCCCAAGGTAGTAGAATAACACTCTCTCTTGCTGGCTCTATTTTTTTCTTTCTCCTTTTTTTTTTTTTTAAACAACAGAAAGCTGCTTTTACCCCGAGGAAAAAGGTGCCATCACCATGTGCGTGTTAAATTCTGGCAGAAATGGGGCCACTAAAACGGAAACAAACAAAAAAGGGCAACAGCCAGGAACGAGAAGTCGCATAGTGTTTACGTGGTTGTTTGCACTTCGGGAATACAGGCTACTCTGAATGATTGGGAAGGGTTTTCTCTGCAGTCAGTGCCGATTTCTAAAACGATCCTCCTTTCGGGGCACTTGGCACACTGACTGCGTTGATAGCCTCAGTTATTCATCGTTCCTTCTGCAGTTTCCGTCACTAGAGAGAGTCTGTTAAGCCATCTCTTGCTTTTGGACTTAGCCATGTGACTTCCTTTGACCTGTGAGATGTTAACAGTCATGCTGCAAGTAGAAGCTCTAAGAAGTACTGCTGTGTTTCCCTAATTCTCTTGGACCCCTCACATTATGAAAATGTGCCCAGGCTACCGTCCTAGAGGGATGTGAGGGGGACCCAAGCCAAGGTCAGCCTAGGCCATCAGGCTCTTGCCAGCAGGTGCAAAAATAAATGTCTGCTGCTCTACGCCACCAAAGTTTCTGTGGTTGTTTGTTACACCGCAGTAACTAACCGAGACAATGGGTTTGCCTAAAGTTTTGATGCCTGGGGGCGACCCATGACTTCAACTGAAATGGTGAACAGATTCTTGTACTTCAGGCCATGCTGATACCACAGATAGCCATCTGGAGAGGCAGTTTGAGATCTTCATTCTAGGTAAACTGCCCTTTAATTGTCCCCTAAATACAACCTTCACACCGCTGTCTCTGTATCTCTGTACATAATTTCCTTTCTCCCTCCTGCAGTGTCCTTCGCGGTCTTCTTTGCCTGTTTAAATTACAACAGATCTCTGAGGACCTACTTAAAACCAGCCTTTTCTGAATGACCGTGGCTGCCCTCTGCCTCCAGTGATGTCTCCAGCTATTCATTCATAGGGTATTTCTCATCAGAACCATAGTTTGGACACCCAACACATGTTCCTTGTGTGACTACTAGTTCTTATCTACAGTTGTTTACTAAACTACATTCCAAGCTCCTGGTGGGCAGAGCCCATCTTCCCCCTTTTTTAACCCCCAGCCCTTTTTCCCATTGTCCTTAAATTATATATTCTCTTTCCCTCCTTCAAATACCCATATCTCTTTAGTTGCATTTAATATCTTTTGAGGGACCTCACCTAATTTCTCCTGTGTGATAGCCAGCCATGTTCCTTCTTCTCTGCTCACCCCTGCCTTGCTTCACCATCACAAACGGGAGTTCCTAGACCAGAGGCCTCACTTTAACTCCAGGTGCATCTCTGGCACCTGGGGAGGTGCTGCTCCTACAGCAGGTGCTCCAGTAAGTATTTGGTTACTTCTTTATCTGTCTCTCCCCTGTCTTTATGTTAAATGCCCTAATTCAGGGCCTCATCATTGCTCATACAGAAAACTGCAAAAAGAAAGGCTTGCACGAGGCCCTGTCTCCCTTCCTTCCTTGTCCTTCAACCAGTTAGCAATACGCAGTATGGGATTCATTTTTTTAGGAAAATCTAGCCAGATCATTTTCCTGCTTCAAAACAAAACAACACAAACAAACAAAAACTTCTCTTAACAGCTCCCCCTTTCTATGGGGTAAAAGCCAAGCTCTTAGCCCGCATGGCCCGCTAAGATCTGCCCAGCCTACCTCCCCAGGCCCTTCTCCCTTCACACCAGCCTCCACCTTTACTCCAACGGGGGGTCATGGCTGGTGCGACATTCTTCCTGCTACACTGCCGCTGCCCAATGGTACCTGGCCCCTTCCTCCTGAATGTTCCATTTGACCAGCCTAGCCCATCCTGCCCTTCTGTCCTGCCCACAACACCCCCCCCTTGTTCCCTTTCAGTTTCAGATGGATCATTATGGTTTCAAGAAGGCATTCCGATTGTCTGACCAAGTGGCAGTTTGCCAAGAAGCAAGACTGAATTGCTAACGCCTTTGTAGGTGCACGGCCTAGCACGGCACCCAGAGCATAGAGGCACTAAAAATTGTCGGATGGCTGGATGGATCTGGGGATCTGCCTGAAGCGGACCAGTTTTCCACTGACCTGTTCCCTAGGCTTGACCTAGGGAACGAATGTCCTCTGTGAGCTCACCCCTTGTCTTCTAGGACTGGAATGGGATTCAGTTGGCCAGAGTTCGGCGCCAGCTTCTAGACACTCCCCCACCATCCTTGGTGCCCAGGCCCATGCTGGGCAAGAGAAGATTTACTTACATGTCAAGTGATGGTAGCTTATGTATATTGAGCAGGTACCAGGTATTGGGTATTGCATATTGTTTTGAGCGTTTTAAGTAAATTAGTTCATTCAAATCTCACAGGGATCTTATAGGGTACATGTAGTAGTTTACAGACGAGGGTTAGAAAAGGTTAATACACTTTTCTAAGATCGCACAGCTATTAAACACAGAATCTGTGTGCAAAGCCAGGCAGCCTGTCTCGAGGGCCTGCCATCGTCACCGTCGCCTATGTCTCCCCAGGTTCAAGTCCTGCCACTTCTCAGTCCTTCCCTCTCCCGTGATGGGAGGAGAGGTTGGGGCTAAGAAGCAACATTTCTGTTTGATATTTTAAAAGGTTTATTCAGTTTGCTTATATTCCCTTGTGATTACCTGCTGATGCATATTTGGCCAGCATGAGGCCTATATTTTCTCATTTTTATCTGTGTAAACATATACTTACCCATGAAGATGACTTACGTACCCATGTTGGAGCAATTAGCAAAGAACCGTGATGCAATGAGCTTGGCTTTTTGCAAGCCCTCTCTGTTCTCAGTGGGCTGGAAACCACGGCTTCCTCTTTGCCTTCACAGCGAGACCGTAGCATTTGTCACTCGGCGTCTGAGCGGCTTCACCAACCCCACCCAGAAAGACCTGTACTGGTCCAAATGGCACGCATCTCATGTGTGGCATCTTTCTTTCTCTTTCTGAGTAAGTATCACTATTCTGCGTGTTTCTCTTGTCACTGGGGTTGTTGGGTCATGGAACAGGACAGTTTGGTCTTGACACATAAAACCTGGCCACACGTCTCTGGTGTTGGCACCAATTCCTGACTTTTGTCTGTGATGCCAGGTTTTGTGCTGGTTCTGCCTCCCCCCTGTCTTGCTGGGCTAGCCCATCCCTGGAGGTGGTAAGGAGTTTAGCTCCCCAGACAGAGACGAGAGCTTAAGGTTTGCCTGATGTGAGAGCTTGACAAGGTAAGTGTGCCTTGGGGATGGAAGGAAAGGTCAGGAAAGCACTTAGTAGTTTGAGGCTCAGCTAAAAGAAGGTTCTGGGCTTCACCTGGGCTCAGGTGGGAATTGACTGGTGAGAGACTGAGACAGGGCAGGGAGAGTCATTTGGCTTTGCTGAGAAGCATATGCAGGGGCCTGAGCCAGTGCGGGGGCGTTTGTGCATGCTAGAACACGGGGGTACGGGGCGGGGGGTGGGACGTTTGAAGGTAACTGGGAGAACGGACGAACTGGAAGGGGAATAACACGGTTCCAGAGCGGCTAGAGCAGGGGGCAGGTACTGTTTCGTGCTGGGAGCACCTTCACCCTCAGGTAAAGCCTGTAGACCCCATCTCAGAATAATTTCTTAAGTGCATAAAATAAAATGCAAAGGATTATAGGGGGAATCAGTCATATTGAAATGCAGGTATCAAAATATTTTTAAATAGTTGGTGATGTAGTCATTTGTTTGTTTCTTTACACATTCCGTAACAATCTACAGATGGTCCGTTAACCACTAAATTCAAAGCAGTGATGAATACGAACAACATTTCAAGATATCTGCAGCAAGTGTAATGTGATGTGAAAATATTTATAGTGTGTTTCTACATTCATGACTGAAGGAAATACTAAATTTCCAGGAAGATCAGTGAAAATACAAGTGTAGGGTTTTTTTCTCCCCACCCAGGTTTATGGACCCTTTAATCCCGTGTGTGGACAAGGCTGAGAGCTGCTTTACAGACACGCAACTGAGTGAGAGCAGGGGTTTGAGTGACTGGAGACGCAGGGGAACTAGAGCAAATTATAGCCGGCGTGACCGGGGCTGTGGCTAAACACAAAAAGGGTTCAGCGTTCAGCCAAGGAGGTGCCTAATAGATACTGGCTTGAGTTCAGCTGGGCTTGCGGTGCAAGGGACATTGGGTAGTGTGAGGTGAGGGTCAGATTGGGGCTGGATGGGATGAGAGGTGGCCTGTGGAAAAATCACTAGGACTACGTGCTGGGTGATCGGTGCCCACTGGACTGGCCTGGGAGGTGTCGATGGCTAGTGGGGGAGGGCTTTTGGGGACCGTTGGCAAATGTGTTCCTGTTTGTGCTGGTCAGTTGTCTGAGTGATGCTCTAATTGCAGGGGTGCCTGACATTTTGCATCTCTGGGCCACACTGGAAGAAGAGTGGTCTTGGGCACACATTAAATAGACCAATACTAATGAAAACTGAGGAGTGGGGAAAAAAAAGGTTTATTTTTTTAGGTAAATTTACGATTTTGTGTTGGGCTGCATTCATAGCCATCATGGGCCACATGTGGCTTGCAAGTTGCAGGTTGGACACCCCTGTGAGTGTATGCGCTTTGCCGGTTTGGGGTGTGTGTTTGGCTTGTGTGTAGGGGGAAGCTGGGTTTATATTGGGCAAGTCAGACAATTGCAAATTCTCCCTCTGTCTCTGTCTCTGTCTGTCTGTCTCTCTGAGCCAACTGGAAGTTCTGGGGGAAAGAAAGTAGGAACCACAGTTCAGAAAGTTCAAAAATACTGGCATCTTTTCTTTAACCCATTTAAACAATGGCCTACACTGGGTTATATACAGCATCTGGCAGAAAGAATGCCTGCTTGAGTATGGTCGGTAGGGTAATAATACAGGTGCAATAATGTATAGTTTCCATTCGAACATTTCACTTAAAATGTCATAGGGTGTGCTTGAGTGTGATGTCCCATTACAGAATTACATGCTTATGATTTTGTAACAAAAGACTTTGTAATGAAAAGGGGGTGTTATTTTTGTGCTGGACTGTATATTTCTTTCTTCTAAATTCTGACTCATCCTCACCGCTAATTTTGTATAGAACCACAGATAGTTTAGTTTTTGTATAGAGAATACATAAATCAGGAAGTAACTTGAAAAAACTTTGGACGTCATCACAAATATTGAGGGGGTCCTGGCTGGTGTAGCTCAGTGGATTGAGTGTGGGCCTGCAAACCAGAGTATCGCGGTTCAATTCCCAGTCAGGGCACATGCCTGGGTTGCAGGCTGGTTCCCAGCGGGGGACACACGAGAGGCAACCACACATTGATATTTCTCTCCCTCTCTCCTTCCCTTCCCCTCTAAAGATAAATAAATAAAATCTTAAAAAAAATATTGAGGGGGGATGAAGGAAATTAGGTGATGACAAATTGATCAATTGCATTGTTTAGCAAATATATGCTTTGTCCTAGTTTATTTATATTTTTGGTAAATACGAAGACCGATAAATCCTGTTGTATCATGCTAGACGAGGTCAATGTCACGGGTGAGGGAGCTCCTGGATCCAGCCCTTAGTTTTGCGTACTTCATCTGTCACCCCTCCCCCTACGTAGATGCCCTACAAACAAAAGCCATTAACATGGGAGGGTTCCGGGGTCGGAATATTGGTTGTTTTACTGAAACTGTATTCATGAAAAAAATCCACTGAATTATGGGTGGAAGCTCTCCCAGCCTCCACTCATGTAGGTTTTTGTACGTGTAAAGGAAGGAATGGTATGTTCTCCAGGTAGGGTTTCTGTAAAGGTGGAATCATTTGAAGTTGCTGTTTTTGTTTATCAGAAATGGTCAGTTATGAGCCATTTTATGTGGTTCAACCTAATAGCTTCCATTCAAATAATACCGGAATGGCAAATTTGGCAATTCCAGTGATAGTTTTGAAAAAGCCAGTACCATTGAGGAATTCTTCATGTTTCCGATGTATGAGTCTGATGTGGTATGTCGGCACCAAGCTGTGTGCCCATTGGTCAGTGAGACCTGCAGCTGCTCTGCAAGGCCATCTAACAGCTCCATTAAAAGAGGAAGCAATGGACAGTCCTCCGAGGTATTTTACTCTTTAGGAGGAGGAAGAGAAACACATGCCGCATATCCCACAGAGAATATATTTGTAATCAAGTGCTTCCGCATATGATTGCAATGCAATGACATTTGAATTGACATCTTCATTCCTTCCAACCTGAAAAATACCTGTGAAACCTCTACACAAAGTCTTTTGCTTTTCTGAGAGAGCACTACCATCCCAATCATGTTCTTGACCTCGCACCTCTACCAGGAACTTACTCCATTCATCATCCTTTCTCCGTCCTTGTTTGTCTCTCAATGGTGCCTGCGTCCAGCCCGGCTCTCACTGCTGCTCCCTACGCAGCAACTCTTTCCAGCTGCCATCTTATTCCTCTTCTTCCCTTCTCTGTGAACCTTCTTGAAGGACCATATTTTTCTGTGTATACTGTGTACTTTTTGCCCAAATTTTTGAGGGAAAAACAAGGCTGCACATTATACACAGGAATGAGTACTGAAACCTGGGTGTGCATTATACATGGCAAAATACGGTAGTTTACACTTCCTCCATTGGCTTCTGACCATTGGAATCTGCTGCTTCTGCTTGACTGAAATCTCTTCTACAAAGGTCTCCACTGACACCCTCATCATTACACTGAAAGGCTTTGCTTTTCCTTTTGACTCCTCAGCCTCAGCAGCATTCCACAGGGCTGCAAAGCCCTTCCGTAGTTCAACGTTTTGTCTCCTTGGGTTTCCAAGTCACTGTCCTGGCTGCCCTTTCCTCTCCCCATCTCTTCCTTCAATAGGTTTTGTCCTCATCTAACCCCCTAGATGAAGAGATTTTCTAGTAGTCTCTCTTCAGCCCTCTTCCTTATATTCCCTAACGCTTCCCAATATTACTATGTAACCGGCTTAATTTGCATCCCTAGCCCAGAACTCTCCCTAGTCACAAACAAGCATTTACACAAAGGCATAAAAAACCACGGAGACAGCCAGAGATGTGGCATTTGCAAATCTAGCTTCAACTGTGGCTCGAATGTTTACAAGTTTTGACATTGCTAAATATGGAACTACCATAGAGTTCTTGAAAGGATGAAAATATACATCTTTTCAAAGGGTTGAAGACTTTAAAGCACCAATATACATATTTAAATATTCCCAAATATTTGCTGGCTATCTTCCCTGTTTATTCCATGAATGATCAAATTTAGTATTTCTGAGACTAACTGCATTATCGTCTTCCTCACGTTTGAACACACGACAGTAACTTTTCCTGATGTCCTTATTTCTGTTACACGGGCCCATTTTCCTCCCAGTCGCCCTCACACAACCTGGGTATTACCTTGTATCTCTTCCTACCTTCCATCCATCCTTTCACTCCAAGACACTGAGAAAATAGATTCTATCACCACAGTGGCTTCTATTGTGTTGGTCAAAAAGTTCGTTGAGTTTTTTTCTGTAAGATGGCTCTAGGAGTGCCTAGTTGTCTTTAACTTCACTTGAAACAATTTTGTTAGATTGTATTGTGACAGCTGTCATATTAGTGTGCATTTTTTAAAAAAAAACATCAAAATTGGTATGTAGCCATTTTAATACTAAAGATTGAAGAAAATACGCAACATTTTTGGCATATTATGCTTTATTATTTCAAGAAAGGTAAAAACACAACTGAAATGCAAAAAAAAGATTTATGCAATGTATGGAGAAGGTGCCATAACTGATGGAATATGTCAAAAGTGGTCTGTGAAGTTCTGTGCTAGAGATGTCTCACTGGACGATGCTCCACACTTGGGTAGACCAGTTGAAGTTGATACTGATCAAATTGAGACATTAATTGAGAACAATCAACGTTATACCATGCAGGAGATGTTTGACATACTCAAAATATCCAAATTAATAAAGTTATTGGTGAAAGTGAAAAATGTGTCTTTTATTTTACAGAAAAGAACTAAACAGACTTTTTGGCCAATTCAATAAATTGTAGTCCCTTTCTTGCCATTCCTTTTGCTTTTGTCACTTCTCTCCTGGGCTACAATAATTACCTCCTGGCTGTTTCTGATTTCCATCATCCTACACACAGCTGTCAGGTTAATTTTCCTAAGACCTTTCAAACACTTCCAGTGGATTTCCCATGGCCTAATCAATCAAGTTCAAACATTTAATTATGAAAGTCAAGTCCTTCGTGTTTTGGATGCAAATGTCCTACCTAATCTTACCTCTTTCTATTAACTAATCTTCATGGGGCCCGTCCCCTAATCGAACTGATTACTCCCTATTTCCTTTAACAAGTCTTTTGATTCCCACTCGTTCGGTCTCTTCGTGAAGTCTTGTTACTAGAGACCCTGTCTCCCCACTTAAATTGTCACAATCTTTTCAATTCCCTAAAGTCCATTTCTAACACTGTCTCTTTTATAAATCTGATCTATCTCCCTCCTCAAAAAGTATAATCTCTTCTTTCTTCAAATTCCTAAAAGCATTTCTATCATATCTCTCTATAAGGACTATTAGCCTACTTGACCGAATTATAAAATTTTTAAGTCAGAGACAATCTCAAACTCCTCTTTGTATCTTGGTGCCTGAAGCATCAGAAATACTGTTAGTGGTTGAGTAAATATTTATTGAATAGGCAAGTAAAGCAGGAGAAAAGGAAATGCTAGTTTTCACAATAAAATGTTCTAAATGTGGTATACCCATCTCTCTGAAAAGTCATGCAAAATGCTGGTGTTTCCTTAGCTACCAAAAATAACATGGTGGAAACATGCCCTGATATAAACAGGTTAGTACTACTGCGGAAACCATGCTTTTTAATGACATTTTTATTGTGAAATATAACACAAAAGATAAATTAGTAAAACATAGATGTGCAATTGAACAAATAAGTAAAAACTAAAACCTGTGTAGTGACTACCCAGGTCAATAAATGGATAGAATGTTGCCAGGACGCTAAAGCACCCACCCCCCTGCCAGGTACCCCTTCCAGATCGCGGCCCCCCACCCCACACACTGTCACTTTTCTGACTCATGGTAACCACTTCCTAGGTTTTCTTTCTCTTTAATTTTTTTTTGCCCTATATGTTTGCATCACTAAACAATACAGTGTAGTTTTACCTGTTTTAAAACTTTAGAAAGGATAGAATCATTCTCTGTATAGTCGAAAAGATTCAAAAGTATTTTGCATCTTTTACTAAACACAGTTATTCATATTATTACAACTAGTTGCATTTATCCACTTTAATTTCTGTTTTTAATCCTCACACAAGGGTATGTTTATTGATTTTAGAGAGAGAGGAAGGGGGAGAGAGAAAGAGAAACATCCATCGGTTGCCTCCTGTACCTGCAACCTAGATATGTGCTCTGGCTGGGGATCGAACCTGCCGCCTTTTGTCACACAGGACAATGCTCCAACCAACTGAGCCAGCCACCTGGCAAGGGCCATCCGCTTTCATTTCTGTATGATATTCCAGTTCATGTGTGCACTGACTTCACCTATTCTACTGTTGATGGACACATGGAGGTCTCTAGTTTGCAGCTGTAATGAACAGGACAGCGGTGGGTGTTCTTTCATGAGCAGCCTGGCACATGGGGCACACAGTTCCCTAAGATACAAGTGTAAGGCTGGCTGGCTTTGCCAAAGGTGTCCCCAAATCCCCCTCTAGTGTAACGTTTTTTGGTAAGCAGTAATTTAAAATTTTCTCAGTTGGTCTAACTTCTTTTTCTAGGCATAATATAAATATTAAAATTAATAGAAAATTGGAATATATGAATAAGTTAGTGTATTTTAAATTATTACTGGAAATGTGTGTAGTTGATTGGTTAGGTGGGTGTTTGCGTGAATTTTGCATTGAGCATATACATTGCAGCTTGCAGGTGTCTGTATCAGGTGACCACTCACCCTCTCTGCCCACTTTTTGAAGTGACTTCTTTTATCAGAATTGTGTTCATTCCAAAATTTCTATCTTCAGCCTTAACATGGTCTCTGTAATGTCCTTCTCCCTTTCTCTCACTTTTTTCCCTTTCAGTCTCCTTTACTCTTTGTCCTGTAGAGTCACAAAATTCAACAGACACTCTGCTTCTTTCATATCTTCTTATAAACCCCATTCTGTTCATTCCTTCAGACTGGCTCTCCCAACCTGTGGCCTCTCCCGCTGTCCCTCCACCTTCCCCTTCCACTGGCCCTCCGCCCTGCAGAGCTATCTAGCTCTCCCTGTGGCATCTCTGTCATCCGGTCTTAGTTCTTTCTGTAATACAAACTAGCCTTTAAAATTCACATGATAAATAAACACATTTTAATTTCTGCAAAATGCTTGGTTTTGAAAATGTATATGCATAGAAAATGTTTCCGTTGGCAGTGAAACAATGCCAGAACATGATGTTCAATTAAGCCTCGGTTCGGAAGCCTCGGTGCTTGAGTACTGATTAAGAAAGAATTCAAAGCCAAGACTCAAACTATAAGAGAAAGTTTATTTAGGAAGTCACAGAGGTAGAAGAAGTGAGCTGTAGGAGAAATGAGCTCAGGAAGCAAGTTACAGAAGCAAAAGAAGGGCCCTTGGAACTTGGGGGGTGGTATGGGGAGCAGTGAGGGCAAAATGGAAAGAGAGAGATCCAGAAGGCCCTGGGTCCTTCATCCTAAGCGCTTTTAGAGATGGGGATCTTAGGGGAGGTCCCAGAGAAGGTCCTCAATAGAATATTCATCAGCTCCCCAGGTGTGTCCTTTCAGGGTCATGGTCTCCACTGATAAGTCAGCACCAGAGCAGGGGTTCATTAGTCATGTAGCTGGTCCTGAGGTCAGCCATGGTGTTGCTCTGCCTGGCCTTGATGCTTTTCTGGGCCTGGAGCTGAAACACAGCCAAGGTCTAGATGTTACCTCTAGGGCTTAACGTTTTAGGAAGTGGTCATGCAAGGGCTTTTGTATGAGGCTATTTTTTGGCCCTCTTGTCTTTCCTCTAAGGGGGTCTACTATTTGACTGGCAAAATGAAAGTTCAGCTGATATGACAGATCAGCCGCCAGCCCAGCAATACGATAAGGGAGGAAGGTCACCCTGGGGGCAAGGTCCTGCCCCACAGTTGTCCGTTGCTAGGCACCCAGGGTTTTCTACCCTGCTGACCTTTCAGTACCTGGTCCATCATTCCTACTCTGCTCATACCTGTCTAACTTCCTACCACATCATCATTTAATAATGGTTTCTCCTTTAAATTTAAAACATGAGATGTGTCCCAAAGGGAAACATTCCATAGTGGTCCCAACTAAAAACTTGGGGTAAGGGAAGAACTAAAATAAATTCTGAGACCAGATCCTGCTGGACTTGATAGTCATCGTTATGAAGCTTTTCAGTAAAAATTACAAAACAGAAATCACTCCTTAGTATAGAAAGGAAGTACCGCTATCTCTTCAGGTGCTAATTTTAGCTGACATTACATTAGATGTGGCCAAGAGCTACAAACAGTTCCAACCAACCCACAGGCGAAAGCGCCGTTCCCTGGGCAGCACAGGACACTTCTGCTCACTTGTATGAAAAAAGCTACCTAAGACTCTGAGGCTTAAAGAAATGCCTGCTGAGTTTTCCCAAAAACTGATGGAAAGGGGAATCATCCTACATCATATTTACTTTAAAATGAGTGCCCTTGGAGAAGCAGATATGTGTCGTGGTAGGGACCATGTTACATGGATGAAGCTAGACTTGTTTTTAAGAGACTAGAGATTACAATGGAAGTTAACGTTATAAAAGAACAATGAACTCATCAAGCCATTCTTCTGCTCCTTGGCCTGAAGAAGGGGTTGAACATTTGGGTTGATTATAGTTACTAACCCACGATCTCATTTACTAGGATTGTAATACAGGGAGCTGCAGAAGGGTGGCACATTGGGAACTGGGACACTAATCTATTTTTATATTCTTTCTCCTACTTGCAAGCTAAGCTCAGCATTGGCCAGAGACAAGTAACAGTTCAGAAAGGACCGCTGTTTAGAGCTGAAGGCTACCCCATCAGCATTGGCTGCACTGTCACTGGCCACCAGGGGCCTTCCGAGCAGCATTTCCAGTGGTCTGTTTACCTGCCGACAGCTCCGCACCAGGAAATCCAGATCATTAGCACCAAAGACGCCGCATTCTCTTACGCGAAGTATGCAGGGCGGGTGCAAAGCAGGGAAATCTATGTGGAGAGGGTCCAGGGCAACTCGGTCCTGTTGCACATCTCAAAGCTCCAGGCGAAGGATTCTGGGGAATATGAGTGTCACACCCCGAACACCGATCCAAAATACTACGGGACTTACAGTGCGAAGACTACTCTCAATGGTAAGCCGTTTGCCCTCCTCTGCTAGCCCGCCCGAGGGAGATCCCCCATGCTCGCAATACCTGGCGATGTTACACGGCTTTATACTGTGCTGTTTGCTTTGGCGTAAGATCCCATGTTTCTCTCCGGAGAGTTCGGAGATTTGTCACAAGGAGGTATTTCGCGTTTTCTAACATTCTCAATTTTTCCAACCGACATTGCCATGAAGATTGAGGTAGGCTGTGGTCTTCCCAAGGCCATGTCCTCGGCTACCCATAGATTTGTAATCACAACAAAGCTTTGAGAGTTCTCACCATGTTGTATCTCCTCTCGGAGGCAGAACTTTCACTTGGTAAGAGCTGGTATTAACATGACAGGCGGTAAGTCATTAACTTGGAAATGCTTGGAAACAGTAGAGAACTACCGTTCTCTAGCATATCTACCTGAAGGGAGAGGGTAACAGTTCTTCAACTACCATCTTGGCCCTCTGCCTGTAATATCTTACCACCCCTTTTCAGCCTAGCAAACTCCTACGTATACTTCAGAACCCAGTTTAGATATTACCTCTGCTGTGGAGCCTGTCCTGACTGTCTTGAGCAGTATTCCAATCTTTGTTTCCTCTGGATGCTCTACGCACACCACTATTACTAGCACTCACCCATTTATGTGGTGATTTATGTGGTAAATGACTCTCATACCTCACCCTGAGCTCCAGGAGAAGGGAGTGTTTATCTCAGCTCTTTGCACAGTGGCTAGCACCGAGTAGATGCTCAGGAAATATTCCCTGATTGAATCTAAGCGTTGCCTTCCCCCAAGCTCAGTCTGTGTGACTTCCCGGAGAGAATGATAAGGTTGTAGGAAAGTTATCAAAACTTTTGGCCCCGGCTGGTGTAGCTCAGTGGATTGAGCTCAGGCCTATGAACCAAAGGGTCACCAGTTCAATTCCCAGTCAGAGCATATGCCTGGTCTGGGTCTCCAGGCCTCCAATATGGGGCGTGTGAGAGGCAACCACACATTGATGTTTCTATCCCTCTTTCTCCTTCCCTTCCCCTCTCTCTAAAAATAAATAAATAAAATCTTTAAAAAAAAAAAACTTTTGTAAGGGTTGCATTTTGGCTCTGAATGGAAGATACTAACAGATTGCCTCAGAATTTTATTTTATAAAGGCCCAAGGAAGTGATGTGACTTGCTCCAGGTCATACAGTCAAATGGAGACAGTTTAGGGTCAGAATTTAGGTCTCCTAGCTCCCAGGGCTTTCCCCCCTTAAAAACTCTGTGTCCAAGTAGCAAAATCAGTTACAGCTCATGCTAAAAATGTGAAGTCGGGGTAAGTACATCAGTGAGCCATCACCTTTGCTGAGTTCCATCAGCCGATGTAGACAGATGCCAAGGCAATAGGGAACAGGGGGCTCCTGGAAAAGAAACTCAAAGCGTGTATTTAGAGATGAAGGGTCAGGACAGCATCTTCATCTCAAGAGGCCAGATGTGGGGCCAACCAAGTCTCATCATTTCTCCGCTTCCAGTGATTCCAGACACCCTCTCTGCCACCATGAGTCCCCAGACCCTCAGGAAGGAGGAAGGCGAGCCACTGGAACTTACCTGCGAGGTAGCCAAAGCCACCACTCAGCACACCCACCTGTCTGTCACCTGGTACCTGATGCGGGATGGACAAAGTCCAGCCACCAAGATTATTTCCTTCTCCAGAGATTTTATGTTGATGCCTGGACCCTCGTACACAGAGAGGTTCGGAGTTGGTGATGTGCGGCTGGACAGGCTCGGGGCCACTACCTTCCGGCTGTCTGTGGGGAGCCTGCAGCCCTCAGATCAGGGCCAGCTCTTCTGTGAGGCAACTGAATGGATTCAGGACCCGGACGAGACCTGGACTGCCATCACGAGAAAGCAGACAGATCAAACCACTCTGAGGGTCCAGCCGGCAGGTAACGGTCTCAGAAAATTCATTGATAGGCTGGTAGTGCTTACTTATGGGATAACTTTTTGTTTCTGTCCAATCTTTTGTTGAATCCGAAAAAAAATTGTTTAGGAAGCGTGAGTAAATTTTCCTTTTGACATCCAGGAAGCATAAGTAAAAGAAAGACATTAAGGTTTTCTTTAGAAGTTGTTTATGCTATTACAAGTGTCCCGATTTTTCCCCTAGTGTCCCCTGCCCCCAGACCCACCTTCCCGCAGTCAATCCCCACACTGTTGTCCACGTCCATGGCTGGAGAATGGAAGATGTGCAGTTTTCGGCTTTATCCACAGGAAGGTTTGTGTGGGCTACGATCTGTCGAACGGTTCAGCAGGTCCTACAAGATGTGCTGTACGCTCCGCCCAAGGCCACCCCGCCACTGAGGGTGGAGCCAGCCTTTGAGAACAGCTGTGTCCCGCAGACACCTGGGCCTTAGAGTAACTGTAGTTTCCAGTGTGAAGCCTCGTCCAAGTCAGTGGTGGGATTTCCTTTCCCTCGACCCATTTTCAACTTGGAATGGTGTCACTCTTCATGATGTATTGGCATTGTCATAAAAATTCGGCTGTAATTCCAGGTCTTTCTACACAGGCTTTGGTGCAATAAGAGGTCACTAAAGCCATTTCTATGTGTGCTGACAGCTATCCCATTAACAATCATCCTGTTAATGCCCTGGCCCGTGTGGCTCAGTTGGTTAGAACATCATCCCATAACCGAAAGGTTGTGGGTTCAATTTCCAGTCAGATCATATATTTAGGTTGCAGGTTTGACCACCCCCAGCCTCCCACCCCTGTCTAGGGGTGGACCATCTCCTCTTCAGGCACGTATGAGAGGCAACCAATCAATGCATCTCTTGCACACTGATGTTTCTCTCTCCCCCTTCCTCTCTTTCTAAAAAGCAATGAAAAACTTTCCCTAGATGAGAAATTTTAAAAATTGTCCTATTGGCCTTAAGTGTCCAACTTATGGTCAGTGAGCCCTATGGGGACATATCAGATGTGCTTTCTTTTCTTCTCTCTTTGGGAACAATTAATTTAAATGTAAAACAGTCTGTATTTTTAAAAATTATTTTGACAAGTAAAAATTGTATGTGTATATTTAAGGTGTACAACATAATGTTTTAACATATGTGTGCATTGTGAAGTGATTACCAGTCAAGCTAATTAACATACTCACCCCCTCAGAGTTACTGTGTGTGTGTGTGTGCGTGCTTGTGGTGAGAACACTTAAGACCAACTCCTTCATCAGGCTTCTTTTTTTTAACATATTTATTGATTATGCTATTACAGTTGACCCGGTATTTTCCCCTTTGCCCCCCTCTAACTACCTGGTACCCCCATTTTCTCCAGCAATCCTCCCTTTAATTTATATCCATGGATTGTACATATAAGTTCTTTGGCATCTCCATTTCCTATACTATTCTTTACCTCCCCCTGTCTATTTTGTACCTACCATTTATGCTTCTTATTCTCTGTACCTTTTCTGCCATTCTTCCTCTTCACCCTCCCAGCTGATAACCCTCCAGATGATCTCCTACCTATGATTCTGTTCCTGTTCTGGTTGTTTGCGTGTTTTGTTTTGTTTTAGATTCAGTTGTTGATGGTTGTGAATTTGTTCCCATTTTAATGTTCATAGTTTTGATCTTCTTTTTCTTAAATAAGTCCCTTTAACATTTCATATAATAATGGATTGGTGATGATGAACTCCTTTTGCTTTACCTTGTCTAGGAAGCACTTTATCTGCCCTTCCATTCTAAATGATAGCTTTGCTGGGTAGAGTAATCTCAAGTTATAGATCCTTGCTTTTCATCACTTTGAATACTTCTTGACAGTTCCTTCTTGCCTGCAAGGTTTCTTTTGAGAAATTAGCTGATGGTCTTATGGGAACTCCTTTGTAGGTAACTGTCTCCTTTTCTCTTGCTGCTTTTAAGATTCTCTCTTTATCTTTAATATTTGGTATTTTAATTATGATATGTTTTGGTGTGGTTCTCTTTGCAGTCAACTTGTTTGGGACTCTCTGTGCTTCCATGTCTATTTCCTTCACAAAATTAGGGAAGTTTTCTTTCATCATTTTTTCAAACATGTTTTCAGTGTTTTCCTCTTTCTCTTTTCCTTCTGGCTCCCTGTGATTCAAATGTTAGTACTTTTGGAAATGTTCCAGAGGCTTCTTATTCTATCCTCATTTTTTAAAATGATTTTTTCTTTTTGCTATTCTGATTAAATGCTTTTTTTTTCTTCCTTATGTTTCAAATCGTTGATTTAACTCTCAGTTTCATCCCCTCCGTTGTTAGTTCCCTATAGATTTTTCTTTATTTCACTTAATGTAACCTTCATTTCAGCCCGGGTCTTTCTTATGCTGTTGCCATACTCAATGATTCTTTCAGCATTCTGATAACCAATGCTTTTAACTCTGCATCTGATAGGTTGGTTATCTCCATTTTGTTTAATTTGTTTTTTGGAGTTTTGTTCTGCTCTTCAATTGGGCCGTATTTCTTTGTCTCCTCAATTTGGCAGCCTCCCTGTGTTTTGTTTCTGTGTATTAGGTAGAGCTGCTTTGAGTCCCTGTCTCAATAAATAGTGTGGCCTATTGTAGAAGTCACCTGTAAATTGTGTGGCACAGAGCCTTAGGTGATCGCTAGGGTGGGGTTACCCATATCACCACTTTGTGGTTTTGTTGTGGGTTGGGGGAACTCCAAGAGGAGACAGTGCTGCTGCCTAGCTTCTGGAGTTTTGCCCAGGAGAAAGCCATCTCCTGGCATTTGTCCTGTTTCCAGTCACTTCACTTTCTCCCTGTATACCACTTGTGCTCTTCCAGCTGTTGCCCTGGTGCTAATGCCAGAGGGGATAGATCTGCATAAATCCTAAATCAATGTGAGTGCTTTAAGAGGAATCCTTGGTAATCCTGCAGTTTCTTCCACTGCCCCAGGCCCCACTAGGTTTTACAGCCAGAAGTTATGGGGTTTTATCTTCCTGGAACTGGAACTCTAGGCTGCTGGGTGGTCTGTTTGGGGGCTTGGATCCCTTGCTCCTGAGGTATCCCTCCCAATTTTTATCTACCACACATGAATATGGGACCACCCGTTCTGCCACTTTTCCACACCACTCCTGGGGCTGCGGGCTTCTCCATGTCTCTACGCCTCCTACCCATGTGGATGAATGTGGCTTCTTTATGTCTTTGGTTGTCGGACTTCCATACAGCTCAATTTTCTGATAGTTCTGGGTGATGTTTGTTTTGTAGTCTAGTTGTAATTGTTTCTGTAGTTGTGCAAGGTGCAAAAGTGTGTTTGCCCATGCCTCCATCTTGACCAGAAGTCCTTTAGCAAATTTCAAGTGTACAACACAGTATAAATAATTATAGTCACCATGCTGTACATTAGATCTCCAGAATTTGTTCATCCTGCCTAATGGAAGCTTTGTACCCTCAGACCAACATGTCCCCATTTTCCCCTTCCCCCATGCCCCTGGCAACCACCATTCTATACTCTGCTTCTATGAGTGCAATATTTTTAGAATCCTCATAGAAGTGATGTTAGCTGTGGACTTGTCTTACATCCATATGCTTTTGGCTTAGGAAAATTCTACTTAATATTTTCAGCCAAAACATAAAGTGAGAAGTCACAATTTACAGTAATTCAACATAGTATAAAAATCACATCACTGTATGCTTTATATATCTATGCATATATCCTGCCTAAGAGGATTGCATTAAGAAAACAGGTGTGCTGTTCCTTCTGTGTGATTTAAGAAATAGTCAAGGGCATTTTTGATCCAAGGGATTTCTTTGGCTAACCCGTTCCTCAGACCTGAGCACCCGTGTGATACCCAATGCCTATACTGTCTTTATGGGGCTAACACCTCTCTCTGCTGCTGCAGGGACAGACACAGTGGCCTCTCTAAACAACTGCCTTGCTTTTGTTTCCTAGTGAGAGATTTTCAAGTCAACATTACAGCCACCAGCACATTTGCCGAAGGGAAACCCTTAGACCTGACGTGCCTGGTAGTGGGCAGTGGCCAGGACCCACAGCTTCAGGGCATTTGGTTCTTCAATGGTGTTGAAATGGCCCACATTGATGCTGGCGGAGTTCTGCATCTGAAGACAGACTACAAAGAGAGAGCAAGTCAAGGACAACTCCAGATCTCAAAATTAAGCCCCAAGGCTTTCTCTCTCAAGATCTTCGCTGCAGGGCCAGAAGATGAAGGCACGTACAGCTGTGTGGTGGCAGAGATGGCCAGAGCTCAGAGGGGCTCCTGGCAGGTGCTCCAGAGAAAGCAGTCACCAGAGAGTCGGGTGCACCTCAGGAAGCCAGCAGGTAGGTGAGAGTCAAGTGCGGCTGCTTTCAGACCCTCTCCTTCTCTAGGACAGGATGCCCGGGGGACACAGTGGAGGTGTCCTGAGAGTCAGGTGTCAGGTCACTCTGAGGGGAGGTAAAGGAAAGCACCCAAACTATCCAAAGACATGAGTCCTATTCTTGAGCCATTAAATGGGTCATGACCGTGGATACTCCACTTTATTTCCCTAAACCTTAGCTTCCTCAAATGTAAAATAAGGACATACAATTAGATTGTCCTTAAGTCCTTTCTTGCTATCTTAGATTCTTTTATTGTATTTGCCATTAGCTCTCATTTCTATACATTAAGTTTTTCTTCAAGCACAGAACACCTGTGTGAATGAAGTCCTCAGTCTTCTTTAGTTGTGTGTGTGATGTGAGTTAAAAGGGAAAAGCTCCATGATGCCTTCTTCCTGGGGCAAAGACACCCACATTACTGCCCCATGCTCCTCTGGCATCTTTCAGGTGCCCTTTATCAAACCATCTATTATCTTAACCTGACATAGGGACGGACCCTAAGTCTTAATTCTGCATCAAATCATGGCACGGAGCAAGGAATGAAGAGGGAAATGAGAGCAGGCAGGCTCCGTTCCCTGTATTTTGCTGTGATGGGGTGAGATGCCTGTCCAAGGGGTCCTAGTATCTGTAGGCATGGGACTGGACAGGCCGTTCAGCTGTCATTTAGTTTATGAAGGTTGAGTGACCTTAAACATGTTTGAATAGTCAGAGCTTTCTGTGTGGAGAGAAAACAGACATGTACACAACGAATGCAGTGGCCTCTTGGTGTCTGCAGGCAGGTGGTTCCAGGGCCCCATGGATACCACAGCCCACGGGTGCTCAAGCCCCTTATATAAAATGGCATAGTGTTTGCATGTAACCTATGCACATCCTCCTGGCTACTTTAACTCGCCTCTAGATTACTTAGAATACCTAATAAAATGTAAACGTCATGTGAGTAGTTGCTATACTGTATTTTTTAGGGAATAATGACAAGGGGAAAAGTCTGCACGTGTTCAGGACAGATGCAGCTGTCTCAGGCCTAACTGCATAGTATGGGTCAGCAGCAACGTAACCTTGTGTGTGTGATATTTCCGACCCATGGCTGGTTGAGTCCGCAGATGCAGAGCCAGTGGCTATGGAGGGTTGGCTGCGTGAGGTCTCTGGGCTGAGTGTTAAATTCAAAGTTTAGAAAGATTAATTTGCCCAAAAGCAAAAACAAAAACAAACTAAAAATAAAGATATCCGTGTTGTACTTGCTCCCTGGAGGCATCTCCACAGATAGACACATTTCCCTTTCACGCTTTTCTTCATCTCCCCATTTGCTACGAGTGGAGACACAGAAGCCTTGGCCTGGAGTGCACGCGGGAAGTGCGTGGGTGTTAGTTTTCACACCCAGCATTTGGTCTGTCTAGGAATCAGGGAGAAGTGTGTAGGCGGCTTAGATATTTACACAGAACTGAATCTCTGCTTTGTGTACCTCGGTCTCCCTGAACACACCTGCGACCTTTCCTCAACCCACTATGGGGGTTTGTGCCAAAGGGACCCTCGGGTGTGCTTCATGGCGCACAGACCCCAAGCTGGCGGCAGGGTGCCATTATGCGTGACAGGTTTATTCAGGGTCTTGTTGAGCATTCAGTTTTGAAAGTCAAACCATTATTTGAAATATGAGCAGTTTTATCGTCCTATGGACATTTTAAACATAAGGGGGGGATCACTGCCCCAGTGAGTGTAACCTGCCCACACTCAGTACTCACCAGGAGGCAGTAATGACCACAATGAACTAAGAAAACCTCATTTAAAAAAATCGATGTTAGCCCTGGATGGTGTGGCTCATTGGATTGAGTGCTGGCCTGCAAACCAAAGGGTCGCTGGTTCAATTCCCAGTCTACGGCACACACCTGGGTTGCAGGCAGGGTCCCCAGTGAGGGGTGTGTGAGAGGCAACCACACATTGATGTTTCTCTGCTTCTCTTTTTCCCTCCTTCCCTTTCCCTCTCTAAAAATAAATAAATAAAAAAATCTTTAAAAAATAAACTAAAAATAATTAGTGTTAGTTGAAAGTAATTATTATGGTTATATTAAAGTAGTGACATTATAAAAATTTTCTCCCTAATTTATTTTTTTTAAGATTTTTTTATTTATTTATCTTTAGAGGGGAAGGGAAGGAGAGAGGGAGAAAAACATCAATGTGTGGTTGCCTCCTGTGCATTCCCTGCTGGGAATTCGCCTGCAACCCAGGCATGTGCCCTGACCGGGAATCAAACCATGATCCTTTGGTTTGCAGGCCTGCACTCAATCCACTGAGCTACATCAGCCAGGGCCCTAATTTCTAAACTTTAGTTATGCATCTATTTTTAGTCCATCGCCTTAACCACTCGCCCACGACTACAGACTGCATCTATTTTTAACTTGAAAAAATTTAAGTATAGTCATGCTTCTAATACCTCAAGTTTAGAAATGTATATACATATATACATACATATTCTACAAATATGTATGTATATGTGATATATTTGTAGACATTAAACTTCATTCTGCCTTTGTAACTTATACACATACATAATTAAAACAGTAGAAGACTGAACTCCTGCCACAACAGGGAGGAACAATTTGCAAATTCAATTAGATCCTGCTCAGATTTCCAACGCCAGTTCTATTTTCTCTTTCTCTTTTGGCTTTGAACTACCACTGTTTTCTCTAGGTGCCTATTCTAACATATAATGCCAATGCTCACAGCTAACCTTTACAGGCAATTTCCCTTGCCAGCCAGCCTAAGCCCCCTGTGTGTGCATTCACTTAGTTCTCTCAACACTGCGATAAGGGGGGTGCTATTATTACCCCTATATTTACAGGAAAGAAAATTGAGGCTCACAGAGATCAACTATGTTGTTCAAGATCATTCTGACTCCAGGGACCTTGGCCTTGAGCGTGAGGCTGGGCTGCCTCCCATGCATGAGCTCCTGAGGCTTCTTTGCAGTGCCCACAAAGCACCCGGGGCAAGGCCTTGCTGAGGAAGTGCGTGTCGAATGAATGTCTGCCTTTCTACTCAGCTTGAATTTCCCATCTGGGAACCCAATTTACATGTACAGTTTAGATAAAAGAAGGACCTCCCTTCAAACTATATGTATGTAATTTGAAAAAGAACTATATATGTATATATGCACATATGTATTTTCCCCCAAGTAATTGTTTTTAATAGTAGTGCTGTGAGCAGAAATCCTATTAACAACGCTCCTTCGCTGTTGAAAATGCGTGCTAATTAGGGAAGGATAAGTTCGAGAGGAGGGTCATTTTGAACTGTGGAAGTCTGAATTCCAAAAAAGGGAAAACTTAAATGAACACGGCTTCATTACTTTCAGGGTGGCACACCCACCCTAATTAATCTGACACAGTACTGCCAGATGTTTTCCCAACTAGAGGTCCTTAAGGAGGGATGATTTAACACATTGCTAAAAATGGGATAAGTCATACATTGTTTAAGTATAAACAGGCTCTCCGGATATCCTTTCTGCTGTCCGGTATGCACTGTTCCTGCATCTCGCAAGTCTTTTTGCTGAGGTGCTACAGGAGACAAATCCAATCCTGATTAGATTTGTCACCGACCAGTCAGGTCCTAGTTAGTGAGAAATCATTGCACTGTAGGAATGTTTTCATTTATTTGAAATAATTTGTTCTACTCATCTGCCATCCACAGCAAGAAGCGTGGTCTTGTCCACCCAGAATGAGCAGCAAACTGTGTGGGAAGGAGGGGCACTAACACTCATCTGCAAGGCAGACGGAGCTGAAAGCCTCCTGTCTGTGGACTGGTGGCACTTCCCGCAGAACCGGACACAGTCCGAGTTCGTGGCTGCCATGGATCAGGCTGGCACCGTGCGACGGGGTGCCTCCTATGGCGAACCCGGGAACCATGGCCACCCAAGGCTGGAGAAAATGGACTGGGCCACCTTCCAGCTGGAGATCTCCTCCACCAGCATCAGCGACAGCGGCGCCTACGAGTGCAGAGTGTCTGAGAGGATCGGGGCCCAAGGCGGAGGGCTGAGCTGGGCTCAGAAGATGCCCGTCACCGTGAAATCCCTAGGTAAGCATCACAGAAATCCTTTTCTGAACTCGTATTCCATCAGTGCCTTCCTTCTGCAGTGGGGTGCCGTGGAGTTTGATGGTGTCTCATTCTGAATCCCCTAGTTACAGTATATGTACCCCAGGACACAGAGCACAGTCCCTGCGTACCACATCTGCCAATTATCTCTGAGGTAAAACTCATCGTTATATAGATCATTGATAGGGTGCAACTTGGGAGTTGTCATTCAAGGTTAAAAACAAGGAGATACGCTGAGTGGAGCTGAGCCCCACACACTCAGGCTTGTGACAGCAGCAGCCCTGGGATGAGTCTCTCAGCCTCGTGCAAAAGAACGTACTGAACTCACGACGGCAGGGGCAGTACGGGAAGGAGGCTGGCCGCCGGGCCGGCGAGCGCTCCACCCGCTCAGTGGCAGCTGTCTGAGCAGCAGACTAGTCAGACAAACACTGCCTGTTTGTGGTCGCTGCTGAGAACGCTCTGAGCAGAGGGTCAACTTAGGAAAACTGAGGTCAGAATTCAGGACAGACTGTACTGTGGATCCACTTCTAGCCCTAAATCCTTGATATTCCCAACGGCTGAAAGACAGCTCGATGCCTACTTTCCTGGGCAGTACCTTACTGTGATTTGATCGACAGCTTACAAATTGCGTTTCACATTTCTGCCCACAGCATCAAGTTTACAAGTTAATTTGATGAGCCGTCAACCACAAGTGAAACTAACCAGCACCTTGAACCTGTCCTGTGTGGTGGGTGTTGGCTACCCTGACCTCCAGGTGCCACTCACCGTGACATGGCAGTTTCGGCCAGCTGAGTCTCAGGTCTTCCACCAGCTAGTCCGAGTCACCCATCAAGGTGCTATCGAATGGAGAGACTTCCCATCCCAGGCCCAAAAGAAGATGAAGGTTTCACAGTCTTCACTGCACTCTCAACTCCTCATCTATGATGCCACCAAGGACGAGCAGGGGGTGTACCAGTGTAAAGTGGATGTTTACGACAGAAATGCCCCGCACTCAAACCGCCCCGCCCGGGCATCCGCTCTGTCTCACCCGCTCAGCATAGTCATCACTTTACCAGGTAATCGCCACTCACAATTAATTCCCGCTTTAAAAAACAATTACCCCCATTTTGGGTAAGTTATACAATCAAAGCATGAAGTACCTTCTCCTTGTGTTTGTACGGCAGAAGTCAGCGCCATATACGTGTGTAAGTGATATCCAGGCTAACACTATGTTGCCATGCACAGAATGACCATACTGATTGTTAAAACACTGAAGTAGTTCCACACCAACTAGTAAAACTGTTACTCCATGCCCCTTCCCCATCTTCCCACAAGTCCCACCAGCCAGCAATGCAAGGGGACCACCTGGAGCAGCAGGGCCCCTCTAGGTCTGGCTACAGGGTGAGGCCTCGTCTCAGACCCGTCACCGCCCTGCTTACCAGTCATGAAACGTTTGGGCTGTCTCCCCTAGTGCTGCGGATAATGTCAGCTTCACCGGAATATATTTATCCACTCATTTTAATGTGTTAATGTGTGAGAGAGAATATACGCTTATAGGAAATGTAATTTACCTTGTCGATTGGTAATAGCACATAGAGGTTAGAAGTAAGACAACCCAGGCAGTTCTGCTGAGTCAAATATCTTCTTTCAAGATTTTTGTTCTCTTAGGACAGAATGTTCAAGAGCCTTTGAAGTCATTTATTACAGATCTGACGAGCAGCATGGCTTTGGATAGGTCACTTAATCTGTCCCAGCCTAGCTACCTCAGCTATAAATTGCTGCGTGCAGTTTAAAGGTGGTGACATGGACAGAGTGCCTCGCACAGTGCCCGCCACACCAAGCAGACACCCTAAGGGGGTGGCCGTCATTATCCTGTCTGCTGCTGAGCTGTGTTTCGGAGATAGTAATGATCCCCTTATTGATTAACTCGTGCCTGAGTTGACTTGTCCTTTCTTTGGACTTTGAAATTGTTTGGCCCAATCTTTTCTTCTGGAAACTTCTTTTTTCCCTTGACCTCATGATACAAGACTTTCTTGGTTTCCACCCTAGTACTCGAACTGCTTTTTCTCTTTTCATTTTGCAGAATTCTCCCTTTCCGCTGATTCATTCCTTTGAGTTTCACCCTCAGCTTCCTCTCTTCCCATTCTGTCTACTGAAGTGGGCTTATTCCCGCGCATGGGTCCAGCCCGTGTACTGAACTCCCAAACCCATTATCCTGAAGGACTTTTCTTCCGATCTCCAGACCCATCTGTGAAGCTGCCTCAATATGTCAAAACATACATGTGTCATTGTTATCCCTCCAAAGCTCCTCCTCTTACATTGTTCCCTATGTCCCCACCATCCACAGTGACCCAGATGGGAAAACTGAGTCACCTGCAACTCCCCCATGCCCGCCTTGTATCCAAGCTCCCATAGCACAACCTGTGAAGTCTTTTATAATTCAGTACATTTATGTCTTTCCAGCATCATCTCCTTTCACATTCCGTCTTGAATTTGAACTTCAGCCACACCGAATTACTTGCGGTTCCTCAAATACTCTGTGTTCTCTCTTCCTTTCGAAGTCTCTGTTCAAGTTCCTTCTTTTGTGTGGAATTTCCTCAAGCCTTCTCTATCAAACTAATTTCTATTAACCCTTAAGACTTAGCTTAGAGAAATCTCCTTCAGGAAGCCTTCCTCACCCTCATATTCGGTTTAGGTGGTCCTCGTGTGTGTTTTGATAGTCACTCCTGCGTACCTCTGTCCCAAGTGAGTGACACGATCCTGTCATCTCTGAGCCTTGGTCCCCGTGCTTAGTCTGTTTTTCTGACTGAACCCCAAAAAGGGAATTATGTACAGAGCCTGGAGTAGCCTAGTGCATAACATTGCACGTACTTAATAAATTCTTAGCAAAGGAAGATCCACATTGATAAGCAGTTATAACAGTAGAATCAACGATGTCAACAAGAAGTTGGACTAAGCTTTGGAAGCCATGCTTTGTTCTTCTTCTTTCTGCCAAAGCAGAGAAGCTTGGGGGTTAAAGGAGAGTTGATTCCCCGTGGATTCAATATTCCCACAGTCGAGTGGCTACAAAGAGACATACAATTTGTTTTTGGTCACTCAATGGGTTTAGTTTTTGAGACATACAAGTTTAATAGCCCACATACAACTTCCTTTTGTTCACCAACATTTAAAGGCACATACAACTAGGCTGGCCAGTGGACAATCCAGGAGTACTCTGGTTAGAGAACACATGGGCAAAGAACGTTCTCTCCATCCAAGGTATAAAATGTTAAGAAGAGAAGGTGTCTGTGCTTAAGTGGTTTAGAGGTGGGACGAACAGTCGGTGGGGCTGCTGGAGCAGGAATTCACACATCTGCTGGAAGTGGGAGGCATTGCTCTCCTTGACCTCGAGTGACCATTCTACCTTGAAATTCCGTTTTCTCACAAAAGTACCTGTTTCCATTCCTTTAATTTAGAGAGCAAGCTACGAGTGAACTCAAGCAGTCAAGTCCAAGAGCTCTCCATCAACTCCAACACTGCCATAGAATGTAGGATCTTGTCCCAGACCCCTGGAAACCTTCCGTTAGCCGTCACCTGGTACTTCTCTTCCATGTCCCCTAATGCACCTTGGCTGACGATCCTGGAAATGGACCAAACCAATGTTGTAAAATATGGGGATGAATTTCACAGCCCGCGGAGAAAACAAAAATTCCACACCGAGAAAGTTTCTCAAGACGTGTTTCAGCTGCGCATTCTGAATGTGGAAGACAGCGATCAGGGCGCATACCGCTGCACTGTGCGGGAGTGGCTCGTGTCCGCGGATGGTGCGCAGTACCAGCTCGGAGAAGAGACGTCAGGTCTGACAGAATTGAAACTCAGGCCCACAGGTAAACCGCGCCCATCTTTCTGTAGGACTGCCATCCTCTCTTGGGCAGCTGTTCTTTAGAGGGATTACGTGAAGGTAAAAATAATGACCTGGACTGCTAGGAATGGGATCCCCTTCACAGTGACCTGGGAGCCCACCAGAGGTGGGGGTGGGGCATTTAGGGTGAATCAGTCTCAGGTTCCAAGCAGCTGGGAGAGGACCAAGACTCCTTTGCTTGTTTGCTGATCAGCCTGGCAGCCGGTCCGTGCAGGTACCCAGGGTATCGTATCCTCGGATCCCTGTAACAAGCTGTGTCACTCTGGTGGGGCTCTATTGTAATTTGGCAGAGAAAGAGTAATGCGAAGCATATTTCTCCCACTGTGAACAGAAACTGTACAGCTCAACAGGGATGTGTGCAGAAATTGCTTTTCGACATTTGGCTGCCTAAACAGAAGGCAAATGAGAGTGTTAACCATTGGAATGGCTGACTGAGGGAACCTCCTCTTCCTCAGGAGACCTTCAGAATGTAACAGACCTTCCACCCTCTTGCACTGGTATAAGCGTGCTGCAATCTAAGAGTGGGCAGGGTTAAGTAGATCTCTCAGCCTTAGGTCACTTCCACTGTTGATTAAAATTTGATGAATGTTGCCCTGGCTGGTGTGGCTCTGTGGATTGAGTGCTGGCCTGTGAAACAAAAGGTCACCGGTTCAATTCTCAGTCAGGGCACATGCCTGGGTTATGAGCCAAGTCCCCATTAGGGGAAATGTGAGAGGCAACCACCCATGGCTGTTACCTACCACTCACCCTCTCTTTCTCCCTCCCTTCCCCTCTCTCTAAAAATAAATAAATAAAATCTTTAGAAAAACTTTAGATGAATGTCATGGCTAAGGTTCCGGAACTGGACGAGATCCAGCAGCACAATGCAAATAAGTTCATCTAGTTTGGCGCTTAAAATTCTGTTTTCAACATAACATCAAAAACAAGATTATAATGAGCATTGCTGCATGGCAGGCCATTGGGAATACACAGATATAAGGCAGAGCGCTTGCCTGAAGGAGCTCACAGTCTGTTGGGCAGCAGGGCGCCCCTCGGGTTCCCCTTCTCTATGTTCCTCAGACCCCTCTTCCTGTTCCTGCTAAATGCGGGCGTTCTGTGGGGACAGATCCCGGGCCCAATTTTCTTCTTCTTCTCTGCTCTCTGTAGAACTTCTCAAACACAGCCTTGATTTCAGCTGCCACCTTCAATGAGGTGGCTGCAGGTCTTTATTCTCACCCCCTACTCCAACTGTCTGTTGGGCGTTCCTGCGCAGATGCCTGGGCATCCCTTGCACTCAGAGTGTCCCAAATTGCATCAGGCCTGTCTGCCATCCCATGAGACGCATGCCCACTTCTGCATTCTCCATCTGTGTGGCTGGCATTCCTTCCTCCCAGTTGCCTAAGCCAAATCTCGACAGTGTATGCAGACTCCTTTAAGGAGGCAGCTCCTTCTGAGCTCAAACCAGAGCTTCCCATTCAAAGTTATGGGCTCAGTGTCCAGCCCTTTAGTATCTCAAGAAATGTCTAAAACATGCTTGGGTTTTTTTTGTTTTTTTTTTTGGTGACATTGCTTATTTTGAGAATGTTCACAATGAATTCAAATTTCTTTAAAATCCTGAGGTGTCAAATAAAACATATTTGAATGTGGCTGCTGGAGGTGGCCTGTGGTAGGGAGTGAGTTAAGGAAGAGGCCCCAGGGTAAGATACTGAGAAATGCTGGTCAGAATTGTAGGAGGGCTATTTTCTCTGAAATCAAAAGAGAAGACTTCAAGAAGAAAACAACTTCAGAGACCAAAATACCACAGAGGGGACAGAAAACAGTGGAGGGTTTCTTGGGCCGGGAAATTGGGCCCTTACTGTGGACCTTGGCCAGAGTGTAGTCGTGGGATTGGAAGGTTGATTACAGTAACACAGGGAGAAATTTAAGGACAGGACGCAGGAAAATAGCAGTTTATCACATAAGCTGATGTGTCACCCATGCTTTGCCATCAAGGGAAGGAGAGAGTAAAGATGGTAACTGTGGAGGCGACCACTCTCTTGAGGTCCCCCCGGTGCTGTGGACACGCGTGAGTGAATCAATATGGCCAAGACAAGATGAGATCTGTTTGGGGATGGAGGCGTGGGCTGTGGCCAGTTTCTCTGGGGAGAAAAAGGCCTCGAGCACCTTTCTCCATAGCCTTTTATTGGGTTGTAATATACAGGAATGCAGGGCGGCAAGGATCAAACAGTAGATAACATTTCAAAGAAATCTGAGGGTTTCAGTCTGAGTCAGTGTCTGTCCGGAAGAGAGCTGCAGAAACTTTGGGAGACTTACTCATTTCCTCTCGGACCTTTATTATATGAATGAAAACACTTTTAGCAGAGCAGATTTCACAGGTTTATCAGCAAGTCTTTGCGGTGCCAGATTTTTCCCCAGGGCATGCTCTGGCCAGGCAAGGATCTGCACCTCTCCCCATCAGGTATTCAGGCTTAAGGGGATTAGAGCCAGGAAGTGCTTCTCCCAGGGAACACGGGGACTCAGGCTATGTCAAAGGGGGGGGGGGGCAAGAGTCCATTGATCTTTGTTGCAGCCCCCCCAGTCCTTCCATGAAGGCCTCCCAAGTGATCGAGTCTGGCTTAGGTTGCCCCCCGCTGTGAGGGGTCTTACCCGTCATTGACTTCTGACCAAGCTTTGGGAGCAGGGAGAGGAACTGAGGCAGCGTTTGCTACCAGAGACAGGCTTTGTCTCCTGCGGCTGGCATTCCAAAAGGTCGTCTCTCCCCCTTAGCCACAAGGGGTAGAGATACAATTCCTAAAATCAGGCAGAGCAGTCTACTACAGGTAACTGAAAAAAAAAAAAAAATCCAGGATCAAAGTTGTTCTTTTAATGACAGATTATCAGTGTTTTTGTAGTAGAGTTGGAAATTCAGTGCACACTATAATTTCTTTATTTTGTAACTACTCTGGCTTTCATTCCAAGTTCTTACCTGCTGGTTAGCAGTGAAAAAAAAATTAAGTAAATGTCAAAATCTGTTTAAAATTTAGTCTAATTCAATGATTTAAATGGTCTCCTTGAGTGGTAGTCCAACGCTTGCATTAAAATGTTCGGTGTCTCCCATAGCCTCCTCTTTCCCTGTGTCTACACCTGAGATGATATCCAGGTGATTTGCTGAGAATGAGGGGTATGGTAGAATATATGACTTAAGGGGTGGACAGGGGGCTGGATGGTCTGGGAGGCAGAAGAGAGAGGTGGCCAGGGAGAGGTGAAGGAGGCAGGTAGAGCGCCCACCGAAGCTGGGCAGCTTTCAGTGGCAGGTCCAGAGACAAGAGGCAGGGCTAAAGGACAGAAATGGCTGCTTTGATTCATAGCTGAGAATGTTCTAGCAAATATGAAGGACAGGGCATCAAAGAAAAGGGTTAAAGATGAAGGACCTGATATCTAAAGACTAGAAGATGGCATCTCCTCAAGGAGAACTGGGTTTTCCAGAGGAGGTGTCTGGTCTGGAAGTCTGGGTTCTCCTCTGACTCAATGCATTTTACTTCCCAGGAAGTAAGGTCCATGTCTCTGAAGTGTACTGGACGGAAAATGCAACTGAGCATGCCGAGGTGGCCGTCCACTGCAGCCTGGAGAGCTCGGGCGACTCAGCCTCCCTGTTCTCCGTGATGTGGTACCGGACCAGAGAACATTCTGGAAGACAACTGCTGGTGCACCTGCAGCATGACGGCTTGCTGGAGTATGGTGAAGAGGGGCTCAGGAGGCGCCTGCAGTGTTACCGCTCGTCCCCTACAGACTTCGTCCTGAAGTTTCACCAGGTGGCGATGGAGGATGCGGGAACATACTGGTGCAGGGTGGCAGAGTGGAAGCTCCTTGGCTCCCCCAGCAAGTGGGTCACCCAAGTGTCAGATGAGTCGCAGCATGTGGTGCTCACCGTGCTGCCTTCAGGTAACCAGGGGTTAACCTGCTGTGGCTCACGGCTGGGAGAATCTTTGTCTCCCCTTTTATGCTTCCCCTCCCAGCTATGGTTTGCTCCTTCTGTGGCTGAAACCCATGTCAGCCTCCCTAACAGAATGACTTTGCCTTTTCTCTTGATGATAACCTATTTGGACAGACACGGTCTAGATGAGATTTTAGCATAGACATTGAAATGTCGGAGGACTCCACCTCTGGTTCCAAACAAAAAAGCCCTCATGTTCTATCCCTTTAAGTAACCAAAGAGTGTCTGAAGCAGAAACCCGTGGGTCTTGGTTGATCTTGAATCTCAGAGTGCTGATGTTCAGTGGCAGAAGGAATGAGAGAGGGACATGGCAACTTTATGTTTGATCTGGTTGAACCAATGTCAGCTACACCTCGATGCTCCCTGAGTCAAAAACAAAACAAACCAAACAGGAAAAACCTTTCTCCATAAACAAGGGACAGTCTCCTTATCTCTCTGTGTGGACAACCAACTACTGCACTTTCATAACGATGCTCATTTGGTGTGCCTCTCCTAATTGCACCTTGAAAGGCATCAACGGAGGGAGTGCACCTGGTAGAACTTGTTTACAGAAGACCATTGGCCAAAGGGTGACCTTTCTCTGTTTGGGAAGGTCGTCTGTTCAGCTGAGCTCACAGATTCAGGAGGGATGTGGAATGAGATTTTGGAGAAGAAGAGGGCACCCTTCCAGCCAAAGCAGTGCCAAGCATATCATAGGCATTTATTAAGCATTTGTTAATGAAAGCAAAAATGTCTCCAGCCAGACCAGTAAATCTTCCCTGGTGGTCGATAAGCTGGCGCAGGTTGCAGCCAGCTCATTCCCCGAGCCACTTCCGCCTGGTGGGGTTTAAGGAGAGGTGAGCAATGAGCAAAACTTATGGTGGGAAGGTGTCACCTGAGAGGCAGTGGTGTGGTCCTGGTTCCCTTCACCATAGAGGGCACAGGAGATCAGTAACGATAGCATTCCTAGGACAGCAGCTAGCTTTGGTGACACTCCTTAGCAGGGAGTGAGGGCTGTGGAGAACATCCGGAAGTTTCCTGGCTATCCCAGCAAGGCTTCCAGAGTGGAAGTCAGCATGATCTGGCTTGCTCTCTGGAGGTGCCATCATTCTCTTCCCCCATCCACTCTTCAGTGAATTTTCCTCCCAAGTCTCCAAGCAGAATTTTCCTTCCAATCTGCTTTCCTTCCATCCCAGGAATTATGGGAGCCTGTTCCATATACCTTTTCCCATTGGAATCCCTGGGCTCTGCAGAACCAGCACTATTTGCAGTAGAACAATAGATAACAACTCTAAAAAGTCTATATTCTGTAATTAAAAAGCACATCTCTTTGTAGGATCCTTGTAAAAGCAAGTGTGAGGTTTTTAACAGATGGACCCTTGAAAGAAATTGGATTCTTCACAATTGAAGAAGATTGCAAGCCTGTGTCATGGTTTTCTTTGAAAGTACAGTTAGAGGCTCCCCAACCCATCTTTGTAGCCCAGCATCTTGCTTCCCATGCCTGGATGGTTCTTTTGGGAGTGGGGAGGCAGTGTAGGGAGAAGAAAAAGGCCAGGGTGAGGAATCAGGCAAACCTAGCCTCAGATCATAGCTCTACCGCCCACCTGCTCACTATGAAATCAAAGCATCGAGCACAGTCCCTGGATATTGTAAGTGCTCACAACAAATGTTAACTCTTTTCTCTTGTGCCTCCAAACATGCCACACACACACGGAAATCCACGTGCATATGTATATGTCCATTTATGTAGCAAAATATGGTAATTTATTCAAGAAAGCAGTATATGAGGTTCTGAGGACATGAAAACATGCATTGCAGAGTCTGTCCTCACAGGGCCCAGAGTCTGGTGGGGGAAGTGAAGTCCAACCTGCCAAGTGCCACCAAAGAAACAGCCTCAGTACACTATGACAGGAGCAGAGGCAGGGCTGAGGGGGGAAGGACTGGGCGAGGAGGGGTCTGGGAAGGTTCCCCAGACTATGGGCCTGAAAAAAGGAGGAAAGTCATTTTTTAAAAAGGAGAGAGTGTGCAAGATGATCATAGAAACTACGGTAGGATGGCAAGAGGTGAGGTTAGCGAGCGGGGGAGGTACCGGTACAAGACGTGTCTTGTGTATGAACCTGAAGACAGTGCACTTTATTTATTTATTTTTAATTTAATTATTTTTCAAGTACAGTTTTCTGTCTTTTACCCCCTTCAGTGCACTTTATCAGAGAGGTTATGGAGTGCCATTGAACACCCTCAAGCAGGCGAGGGACATCCTCAGACTTGCTCTTTAGAGAGCTCCCCTCTAGGATCAGTGTTAACAGTCGGTGGGAAGGGAGGCGGACACAGAGCAGGGAAAACCATTTGGAAGTGACTACAGAACCCAGGTGAGACAAGATGAAGGCCTGAATTAAGGCAGTGCCCGTGACGGCTGAGAGTAGGACAGGCATTTGGGATTAGGAGGTGTACCCTTAAAGGTTTAAGAGACTGATTAGGTATATGTGGGTGGGGGGGTGAGTGAGCAGAAAGGGAGACTCAAGGGTGAACATCCAGTTTCTGGCAAAGGTAGATAGTGGAATGTTCAGTAAACAAGAGCAAAATCTGAAGGGAAGATTAGTTCAAGTTTGAATAAGTTAGGCTGGACTTGAGTTTGGAGGACCTGTGAGTTACGCAGGGAAACCTCTCCAGTAGACACCAGAACTTCCAAATGAGATCCTTGCCAGAACTGGAGATTAAAAGTCAACAGCTTATAGCCAATAAGGATGCCCAGAGATGGAACTCGGAGATAGCTCACCATTTACTGATTAGAGAAGTGCAGAAGAGGAGCCTGGGAAGGAGTAGGAGAGAGGTGAGAGGAGAACCAAGGTTTTGGGGACAGCACAGAAACCAAAGGCAGAGAGGGTGTCAAGAGGGAGGGGAGAGCTGACAGACCACAACTATTGCAAAGAGGCCAATGAAAATAAGAGTGCAGCAATAGTCACTGAATTTAGCAATGTAGAGAGATAGCAGAAAAGAAAAGAGAGAAGTCAGGCTGCATGAGAGAGTGGGCACAGCAAATATAGGTCATGCTTGCAAGACTGTTGATGTGAAGGGAAATAGGAACCACCATAATGAATGGCAAGAGGTGTCAGCGAAGTTTGCTTTGTTCTGTTTTTGTCTGGAGACTGTGGGAACTTGAACGCGTGTGTGTTCTAGAGGGGAAGAGCGCACAAAGAGAAGAGGAAGAGTGGAAGAGAGCAGACACGAGTGGCGGGCCAGCATCCTGCGTGAACACACGCCACCTCCTGACGGGAGTGCCCCTCAGGGTCGTCTTCCCCTGGCCAGCATGTGCTAATCCTTTACCTGCCAACTTGACCGACACTTTCTGAGTTGCCCTGCCTTACTGTCTTGGTCATCACACCTGTTTAACATCCGTCAGCGCTATAGATGCTGAGAAGGCAGAGACTCTGAGGGTTAGAGAGTCCCCAGGATTAGCACAGTGCCTGGAACATAGACACTCGAACACCGTCTGGATCACAGAGCAACTGTGCTCCTGACAAGGACCTGCTGTGTGCCTTAATAAAGGGGCAGATCAAGTACAATGTACTACCAATTCTCACTTCTCAAATGGTTTTCCACCACCCCTACCTGGCAACTCCACGTTCACTTAGTTTGGGACTATGTAACAAATCCGTGAAGCATGTGGTTTAAGTGAAGGTAGGAAAGAAAGTTAAGAGGCATGTCCCTGAGGGAACAGACCTTGCATTTTCTTCTCCGTCTTACTTCCTTAGCTATGGCTAAGCCAAGGCAGGGGCTCCAGCCACCCGAGTCTTCTAACTTCACCCTCAGACCCCAGACATAAATGTCTTGTTCTAGAAAATTCTCTGTGATTGATAGGCAAGGCTATAGGGCTTTGGGGAGGCTGGATTATTTGTAGTAGTATGGCATCTGTTACTATTTCCCAGCTTTTGTTTGGGAAACTTGAAGAGTAGATCCTCAAAGGGGATATGTGCCCCCCCACACTGAAGGTTCTGGAGAGACCATGCCACTTATCCATGCTCCCCCAGTGTCCCCAGGAAGGCCTGACGTGGAGCGCTCAGCAAATGCTTGTTGAAAGAATGAGCAAGCCAGCCTTATGTTGGGTTGGAACAGGATGCTATCAGGGGTTCACTTATTTGAGGATGCGCTTGTATCAGCTTGCCTAACCCTACTTTTATTTTTGTTGGCAAGAGTCAACTCTCCCACACGGCCAAAGTCAGTTGCCCAAGTTTTGGTTGGGGTGGCGGAAGAGCTGGCAGCCTCCTGACTGTCCCGTACCTTTCTTCTTCCAAGGTCACATCAAGAAGGAATGTTCCTCGTGATGCATTTGCTGGTGGGTGGCAGCCTGTTACGGACTAAACCTCATGATGAAGTGTTCTCATTGCATTTTTGGCTCAGTCTTGCAGGCCTTGCACTTTGTGCCTTGGGCACTTACTCGGATTAATTCAGAATGCCAAACCTTAATGGTTTTGAGTGTAGTAATTCTAATCCAGGCGTGGGTGAGAGGCAGATAATGGGAGAGGGTGGTTGAGGGTCCTGAGCAAACACTGTCCTCCCAGGAGAGGCCAAACCCGGCAGTGGAGCCGATGACTACTGGCTGTGGGCCCGTTCAGTGGCACCATGAGGAGTGTCCTTTGATGGCAGTCCACTCTAAGTGGGCAGCTGCCTCCCCTCTAAAATAGTCACACCCCCTGGCAGTCCCTTCCCACTGAGGGTGAGCATCCCAGTGGTAGAAAAGCAAGTCCCAGAGTTCCGTTCACCTTCTATGTGCCATTTCCCGATCACCGCACCTCCGTCCTAGCAATGGTGATTCGTGGGTTCTGTGGACCCCACCTCCCAGTTCTCTGCCTCCCGTGAATAGACAGAGGAAGCCAGAGTCTCCTGAGGAATCATGTGACTCTCAGCTGAATGTCCCCCAGTCTTGGGGACAGAGGGATCAGAGATTTAAGAAAGAGGCTTGGGCCACAGAAGAACATGACCCAGCCTGTGGCCCTGGAGAGGAACCAGATGGCTCAGCCCTGTTTTCTCTCTGGTTTCTCAAGAGAAAGTTGCCCGTGATTTTTCTGACTTTCCCAGTAGCATTCTAGCTAATATTTATTCTTTGCTAACTCAACAAATGTGCCAGGCACTATATTAAATGCTTCATTATGCATTATCACATCATGGCTTTAGAAATTATTATCCCCACTTGACTGATGAGGAAACTAATGATAGTTAGTTTCATCAGAGAACCCAGAGGATTAGGGTACTTGTCCAATGTCAGACATTGTAAGTGGAAGAGGCAGGATTTGAACCCAGCTTTCCAGGATGGAGGAGGTACTCAATAACTAGTCTGCACATGAATAGTGTGAGTTACTCTTAGCCTCTTGTTCTTCCGCTCCATCCTCTTTCAACATCTCTGTCTGTATCTCCGTCTTCACCACAGGCCTTCAAATTCAGATAAGGCGTGGGAGAATTTCTCTAGTTAAGCAGGGCCTTAGAAGGGTTAGGTAGGATATAGAGGAGGGATGATAAAGGACTCAAAATCTAGCCTTTTCATTGCCCGCCCTTTCAAAATCAAACACTCAGTTTAAGATGGAGCATATAAATGAGACCAGAGGAAATTCAGACAAGTCTCTGCAGCTCCTCACCAGCCTGTTCAGAGCTGCCGTGTCCAGTGATGATTTCACTCTGTGCAAAAAATGGTGGCCGCACCCTTGGGTTCTTGGGTGCAGAATTCACTCTCGTGACCAGTTCATCTATCAGTCTCCATGGATGACCTATGGACAAAGCGCTGCACAAAATAAAGAGATGCATGAGAAGTAGGCCCTGTCCCCCAGGAATTCCCAATGCAGGAGCTGGACCAGTGTCTAGTTACTTGAGTTCCAATAACGACATTCTTCAGGGTGCGAAATGTATCAGCCATGCCAAAAAATGGAATCCTTGTAGCATGCGGTTGATCAAAATGACCTCAGAACCTGTTGTTTTCATCTCAAAGAGTCTGTCATCCCAAGAATCCTTTGGCTTAGCCTCTGAAAAAGAAATTGCTTATGCTATGACATTTCCCAGCAAAAGCACAGCTACACTTAGCATCAGATTTTCGGAACAGCCTCATTTGGAATACCCTGTCATAAGTGAATGTAGTTGGAAGGCCACATTTTGTAGTTGGTGTCTCGTGAAGCATGTGTCTTTCTGCATCAAGAGACTGTAAGACTGGTCTTTTACTAGTAACTCAAGGCTCTGTGTCCTGGAGCCTGTGTGGATGTGGTCCTCTTGTCCGTCCGTGTCCCTGCTGTGTGTCTGGGACCCAGTTCGAGGCTGCATGTGTGTGTTCCACGTGTCTGGTGCTGACAACATTTCCCCAGGGATCACAGCTGCAGATGGGGCATCTTTAGCCAGCCTCTATGTAGTAACTTCTGCCCCATTCAATCCAATCTCATTCAGATCAGCGAAAGTGATCAAGCATGCGTGCCAGGTACCGCAGGGGCCATGGAAACAGATGGCACCATCAGACACTCATGCACCTATGACAAAGCAACACAGAGGGCTAAAGGGGACTGGAAGAGGTCTGAACAGGTCTGAGTGTGAGGGGATAGAAGAGAACTGTCTCCGAGGTGAGGTAGGAGGAAGTGTGCTCTGAGCTGGGCCAGGGACCCAGAGGACTCAGAGAACCCAGAGGATTGGGGTGCAGAGAGCATCCTGGGGTGGGGGGGCAGCAGGGAGAACAGCACAGACATGGGGCTGAATGGAGGAGGCCTGGAGAGGGGGGTCAAATTTGGAGTCAGGAAGGGATGGTGGGTCTCGCTGTAGGTGCTATTTTATGAGGACCGTGCATATGAGAGAGAGAGGAAGAGAGAGACTGATTGAAAAGCAACAGCAGTGGGAATAACAGTTAAAATTCAGGCCTGGCAGCGGAGTCGACGAGGGTTGAATTATAGATACCTTTTCAGAGGAAAGAAGATTAAAGGAGAGGTTTTCGTTTTTGTTTTGGTTTCTTTCTGGCTGTTAGTTTTAAGTAGGTCATTGGAGCCTCCAGTAGTTGGAAATTGCGGGGGCAGGCAGGGTGGGTTGGGAGAGTTCTCGGCTCCTCATGGTGATTTAAGGGGATGGTTCTATTAGGGCTCCTTATTTTTATGGGTATTTGCCTGTAACAATGAATCCTAGAAGTGTTTATAACTGAATTAGTACAAATAAATCAAAGACTAATTATTTTCTTTCTTTCTTCTTTCTTTCCTTCCTTCCTTCTTTCCTTCCTTCCTTCCTCTTTTTTTTTTTTGGTAGAACCCACATTTCCTTCCAGGATCTGCTCTTCAACGTCTTTTGTCTATTTTTTATTCGTCTGTCCCTTTGTTCTGTTCATTCTTCTGCTCATTTGTGCCCTCTGCTTACACTGGAAGGCCAGGAAGTTGTCAGCACTGAGACTAGCCTCCCAGGGAGAAAAGGTCCTCTGGGTGAACATGAACGGGGCTGGAGACAGTCCCACCAACAGGTGGGAAGAGGAAGAGGAAGAGGAAGACCTTTGAATCCGGAGGGGCGCCCGCAGTCCTGTGGGACCAGTGTGGACTTTGCAGTTGAACTGATCAGACCAGCATGTGAATGCCTCCTGGTTCTGCCCTTCTCTTGTCTGTGGCCTTGGGTAAGTTACCCTGGAATCTGAGGAGACGTTTATTGAGTGTGTATGTGGTGCCAGGCACTGTTAAGTGTTTCTTTGTGTGTGACCTCATCTACCCCTCGCATGCCCCTCCCCCCAGGAGCTGGATGGCATCATTACTCTGATTCCGTTCAGCACACCTCACTGAGGTTCAGGTTCCCCGTCTGTGAGGAGTCCCACCCTCTCACAGCCTCTGGGGCTTAGTGACACCCTATGGCCAAGCCCAGTGGGGAGTGGGGGGCGCTCCCTCAGCTCTCCTGGGCTCTTGGTCACTGATTCCCTGGGAAACACCCTGAGCTCCCCTCACCCTGGCTCTCAATAATCATCTGCCTCCAGTGCATAGGGGTAGGAAGGGGCCGGATGTGGCAAGGTGGACGGGACTGGGAACATGCCCTTCTTCCCCACTCCATCTGCCTGCCGCCGCAGCGTGGCTTCCTTCCAGGCAGAAACCCCATTTCCCCTCCGTCCCATCTATAAGAGCCAAGCAAGAACTCTGCGTAGTAGGCGCTTAATCAATGTTGGTACTTTTGATTAAATAATAAAGCATTTTGTAGCCTGTTCCCCCCACCACCACCACCATAAGACTAAGTCATTGCCAAGGAAAACTTTTTTTTGAATCTAGCAACAGTGTTCCAGTCAGCCCCCCAAGGCTCGTATCTCCCCTTCCTCCCCACACAAGGCCTGCCTGCCTCCCGGTTCTTAGCCAATGCCTCGCTGTGGTGATTATTTGGGGGAGGAGGGGTCCCCAGTGGCACACCCCCTCCCACGGCAGGGGGCCCAGGGTTCGGGGGACAGCGGGTCACGTCTGGCTCCTTGGGATCCCCTATTCTCAGCCAGGTAAAGTCAAGAGGGTGGTGGAGAGGTTGGGGTTCATGGCTTAAGGCTTTCAACACTGTCCCCCAGGAGTAGACAACTGTCCCCACTGGACCTGAGGTCCCTTCCCCTTGTTTCAAAAGCTACTCAGGCCCCGTTGTAGCCAGAACAGAAAATCAATCAGTGTCACCTAACAGACTTGAGAAAACACATCTATTTATCGTCTGTGTGACCAACGGCATTGCTTTCACACTCGGTAATTTGCATTTCCAAGGAGAGCGATTTATTGTTAATTATTGTATCAGGCGCAGACATCCTCTCCAAACATAATTAGTTTTTTTTGCAAGGGAATCATCAGTGGCTGTGAGAACTCCCACTGTAGACCCACTGGGTCCTCACACTCATCTCCCTTTATGGCCTCGTTCGAAATACTCCAAATGTTTCCTTAAACACATGGACACATTTGTTTTTCTCAGGTAGGGAAGCTTGGTTTTCAGAGAACAAAGCTCAAGTTAAGACCTCTTAAGAAATATGATTGATGTCTCCCCCTCCAGTTTTCCCAGCAACCTGTATTTTCACTGGGATACTGAGGGGAAGGAGCAGAACTGAGCCCAGCAGAGAGAGTCGCAGTGGATTCCAGGGCCTCCCCTCCCCACGCCCAGATGCCGCCTTTCCATGCTGAGCTCACACGAACCACTTTTTCTCGCTCAAAGGCAGCACGGAAATTGTCAGAGCAGACCCTCAAATGCCTAGCTGCCCCCGCCCCCAGCGGGGTCTGGGAATGATCGTCTCTCGAAGAGCCTGCCATGTCTGGGGTGGGAGGGTGCGAGGGACCCAGTGGTAACCCAAGCAGACTGAGCCCTGCTCGCCCTGTTGGTCACTTGCCTGGCCTAGACACTCTGCGTTCATGACTGGGATCTGGCACAGGTTAGAATTTCAAAGAAGCCAATTTGCCCTTTTGGCTCATGGTGAGCGTTCAGGTAACTAAAACCCCAGTCTTGTTTTTTTTCCTTTTTTAACACGTAGAATAAAATTTGTTTTCATAGTAGACATTTTACATGAAACCTATGTTTGGTCCAATTATGTACTTGTTCATTTTAGTTCTTAAAACTTAATGGAGAACGTCACTTTTCCTTATTGATTTCAGCCTTTCCATCCTGCATCACCCCCAGGTTTTACCTTACTTTCTGGTGTTATAAATTCTCCTTGGCAACAGGACAAACCTCTGTGTTAGGAGCTGGCTGCCTTGGGCCCATGGGCAAAATACAGCCCAGCACCTGTATTTTAAAATGTAATTTGTTGGAATCCAGCCCTTTCCACTTACCTATGTATTTTCTGCAGCTGATGTTTTGACCAAATGGCAGAGTTGAGCAGTTGCCATGGAGACGGCATGACCCTCAAAGCCTGAAATATTTGCTATCTGGCTCTTTATGGAAAATGTTTGCCAACCCTGCTCTCTTAAAGTAGCTAATGTTCTGTCTGTTTTCTCAGTGTATCGTGGTCCTGGGAAACTTGATTTGACTTATTATATCTGTAGTGGTTATATAGCTGAATTAATTTAATAAATAGTCTTGGACTCTCTGTATTGGTGTCTTGTCCAGCAGTGCTAAAGGCTGGATTCTCCCTACCATACTCCTCCTAGAGACAGAACCTCCACATCACCCTGCTGTGTCCTTACTCTGTGAGACGAGACCACGCAGAGATGAGTAAGGCAGGCACAGGCTTCTCTCATTATCTTTAGTCTACGAAGACATTTATGGGAACAACTGATTTACGGCACCAGATAAGCGCAATGGTAGAAAGTCATGTGCCACAACGACTTCTTACAATTGTACAGGAAGTGTTCATCATCCCGGACTTTCACAGCCTCCCATGCAAAAGGGATGGTTATTCCCATCCTGCAGGCAAGAGACTGAAGTTCAGAGAGATTGGGATTTATCTAGCATCACCCAGCATGTGCAGAAGAGTAAGAGTTCGAACTGAGGTTAGCTGACAAGTCTTGGACTCTCTCCACAATAAATGCTCTGCTCAAGTTCATTGTGACGAGGAAAGTCTGGTGATAATCACATCCACCTCACATGGTTTTTATGAGGATCTAATTAGATACTTACATGGGGATAAGTTTTAAACCACTTCAAGTCATAAGTGAATTGTTGGCATAACCCATGTTTTTCCAGGCCTTACTTGTCTGTGCACATAAATAAAATTACATCAACAATAATAATCCAAATTCTGTAGACTTTTGTCCCCGGGCTGCTTACACGGAGTCCTGGCCACATAGAAAGTGTTCTTCAGGGATCTCAGGGGGTCCCGTAGGATTCTGGGAATTCAGACAAGCGTGCCAACAAGCCCACAAGCCTGCAAGCCCACTTGCACCTCGTCTGCTGTGGCTCTGCTCTGCTCTGCCGGCTGCCACTGCAGCCGGGCTGCTGCTGCCCAGTGCTCAGCAGGGAACAGCGCCGACCTCTCACTGTGCCCGCATTGCCCTCTGTTTGAATTGTAGATGAATCCAAGTTTGCTTGTGCCCCGGGTCACTAAAGATTTTCTTGTGAGAGCAGCCTGTTCTCGCCCTTTTTTGGTGGGCTCCAGACAGCAGCCAGGCTGGGCCAGGCTGGGAGACAGACTTCATGCTGGGCTCTTGGTTTCCCGTTCTCCGATCACAGGAACCTCTGCATGAACCCCTTCAGCATAGGCCCCTGTTCCTCGTGCAGGTGGGACATGCAAATGGGGAGGCTTCGCACACATCACCCAGAGCAGGCAGAAGTCCCTGGAGGTTCAGCTGGGACTTCTGCTACGCTGGTTATTTTCTCTTACCCATAATGCAAGAAAGTGCCATGGCCACCGAGAAACCAGGGACAACTCCACAAAGGAGACGTCATTTGAAATGAGCTTTAAAAGTCAGAAATAATTGACAGGAGAAGTTGGAATAAACAGTAGTCCAGGGCAGAGGTAGCCGCATGAAAAGCTACAACATAGAATAACTTTGGTTTGATTTAATTGTCAAGTTTATGGAGGAAAGTAATAGGAGATAAATGTGGAAAGGTCGTGGAAAATTCTGAGGGTGGGGAGGGGCAAGAGAATGACTCTTAAACATGGAAGAACTTGGACTTTATCTGGTGGACAATAGTGAGCCATTGAGTGTGATTTAGTAGGGGAGGCACAGCCGTGCTTTAGCGTGAAAACAGCATCGGCATAGGTGATGGATGGGGGTCGGGACGAGGGCTGTGGCAAAGCAGGGCAGCCGCCCCCACCGACACACCGACTGCAGGACCACCTGCGTGCATCTCACAGCGTGTGTTCACTCAGAAGCTAGGAACAGAGTATGTACTACATGAGTCCACTCGTTTGAGGTCCAAGAACCAGAGAAAGAAATTTAGGTGGTGATTTCATGGGCATATACATAAATTCACTGAGCTGTCTTTTCAAGACATGTGTACTTTTCTATATGTAACTAACTTAATATATAATAAATATATACACTGTATAATAAATAATGTATAATTCTATTATAATATCATAACATAATAATAAATAGCTTACATGTAAATAACTTACACCTGAGGGTCTTTTTAAAAAGTTTCTTTCTTTCAAAAACTATTTGAGAATGAACCAGATGACCAACATGGAGTGAGGAATTTTAATGTGTAAAAGAAATGATAAGATTCATTTATTCCACAAGCATCTTGTAATATTTAGCATGCGCCAAGACACCCTCTAGGAGCTAGGCATGTGGAAGAAACTGACAATGTCTGTCCTCTCAAAGAGCAGCAGAGAATGGAGTTGATAAGCCGAGACTGGTAACTACTCGCTTTTAGGGTCTTCCACCTTGACTTTGCTCCTTCTAGATGACAGGCCCAAGGGATACTCTGGTGCCCTCCCAGTCAGGAATGTGAGCTCTGGGTTTAGACTGTCTGGATTCCAACCCTGACAGTGCCACCCACTGGCTGTGTAGTCTTTGTCAGTTCATCTCTCTTTGCCTGAATTCCCTCATCCATATAATGAGACCGATACCCATTACTTCATCGGGTTGGTTGTGAGGATTACATGAGATATTCATGTGAAGGGGTTAGAAGGCTTCATCATCGTTATTGACATCAGCGACAAGCTGACCATTTGAATACTTCTATTCGTGAAAAGGAAACCAGATAGCTGCATTTCACTACTTAATTTAAAAAAAATCCTCACATAGCCCTGCCTGGTGTAGCTCAGTGGATTGAGTGTGAGCCTGTGAACCAAAGGATCGTGGTTCAATTCTCAGTCAGGGCACATGCCTGGGTTGCAGGCCAGTTCCCAGAGGGGGACACATGAGAGACAACCACACATTGATGTTTCTCTCCCTCTCTCCTGCCCTTCCCCTCTAAAAATAAATAAATAAAATCTTTAAAAAATCCTCACACAAAGACTTTTTAAAGTTGCTTTTAGAGAGAGAGGAAGGGAGACAGAACATCGGTCAGTTGCCTCCCATATGCACCTGGGCGGAACATGGGCACTCAGACCGGAATTGAACACCTCCAGACCCAGACAGGGGATCGAACCTGCAACCTAGACTGTGCTCTTACTGGGAATCAAACCTGCAACCTTTTGATTATAGGCAACACTCTAACCAACTGAGCCACACTGGCCAGAGCTTGCCACCTAATTCTCAACACAGTATTAAAGAGAACGGGGCAAGGGAATAAAATGTAAGCCTGGGCTTGGCCACAAAATGGGGTCATAGCTTGGTCCCTCAGCCCAAAAGGCTAATCTAGAGAAAAAAAAAAAGTGCAACATTTCAGAAAGAGTCAGGACAATGTGGACAGAAGAACACTTGGATAAAATTGTCTGAGTGCTCTGCAGTTGGATGAGAAACCAGGATGGTTTAATCCAGAAGTTCCAAGTGAAGGTATATAAATACATGGGAATTAGTGGGAAATGAAGTCCCTAGAGACTCCTATCCTGAGGTCCTTTATACCTGTATTAATTAGCTAATTCAATTTGCATGTAGACTGGAGTGCAAATAATTAGCCTGAAAACCCACACTAGTCTGCTCAGACTGCCGTAACAGAAGACCAGAGATGGCGTGGCTAAAACAACAGAAATTCATTGTCGCCAGATCAGGGTGTCAGCTGACGGACGAGGCCCTCCTCCTTATACACTGCCGATTTTCTGGTACCTCCTCACGTGACAGAGAGAACTGCGTCTCCTCTAATCAGGGCACCCATCCCAGCAGGCGGACCCCGCCCTCGTGACCTTGTCTGAACCTAACTTTCTCCCAAAGGCCCCGACTCCAAACACCATCCCATTGGAAAGTGGAGCTTCGACGTACGCATCTGGGGAGACAAAATTCAGCTCGTTGCACTGAATAGGGCACACGACTTAAAAGCAAAAGCAATCGAGCGAGCAGAACGTCCCCCCTGGCACTCAGCAGTGCGCCAGCCCTTCCATCAGAAATGGGCAATTACTGAAGAGGCAGGAATGGTGTCATCTTGAAACAAGTTTAAGGATGAAAGGGGGTTGCTTAAACATTCAGGCAGAGCTCTGGGTAGGGACACAAAGAACTGGGCGATACCTCTTCCGCAGCCACTGTTAATGCTGCTCCTGTCTCCCCGGGACCAAAGAGGTATTGAGGGCTGGAGGGCGGGGCTGGAGGGCGGGGCTTGAGGAAAAGCAGGAGAAAAAGAGGAATGAGGGAGAAGAAATGGACAGTTAGCACTCTAGACAGGGAAAGCAGAAATAGAAGCCAACAAACCACAGAAAGGAGAACCTCACAGCCCTGGCCCTGCCCAAGAGCTGCTCTCAGGCACAGGTGGGGCTTTGATCCCCCAGACCAGACAGCTTCTGAAGGAAGCCGCTGACGGAGGAGGGAGGAGACCACCATCCTGTTGGAGAAGCCCTTCAGATGCCAGCAGAGGCAGCAAGGAGGTGAGGCTTCGCTGTCTCTCTGGTACAGAAGCAGAAAATAGGTTCTGTCCACTGTGTGTGGAAATGGGTTTGTCAGCTTCTGCTTAGAGTAAGGTGGAAGTTCGGTCCAGGAAGGGGAGGGTGAAAAAGTACTAAAGAGGAACTGAAGGACTAGGAAGAGCTGGACCTTTTGAAAGGGATGCTCTGGGCTACCCAGGAAGGCTGCCTCAGATCTTCATCAAAGGAGTTATTAACTCTGCTCTGGCTGGTGCAGCTCAGTGGATTGAGCGCCGGCCTGCAAACCAAAGGGTCGCCAGTTCAATTCCCAGCCGGCGCACATGCCTGGGCTACAGGCCAGGTCCCCGGTTGGGGGTGTGCAAGAGGCAACCACACATTAAAATGTTTTTCTCCCTCTCTTTCTCCCTCCCTGCCCCGTCTCTAAAAATAAATACAATTTTTTCAAAAAAGAGTTATTAACTCATATTCTTCTCATTGTTGGACTGTAGCAAATCCCTCACTCAGCCTTCATCCAAAAGCATGTTAAGTCTTGAGAGACGACCAAGAGGGAGAGGAAGGAGGTGGCAGATTAAAGACGTGAGACGTGACAGGTGTTGTGAGGCCAATGGGAGAGACAGGAGACAGTGTGACTGGATGAACCAGTGGCCCAGTACAAGGCGACAGACAGCCTTTGTCCTGAACAG